CAGAGAGAATTATGACCTCGACTTTTAACTGAGCTCCAGAGAGAATTATGACCTCGACTTTTAACTGGGCTTCAGAGAGAATTATGACCTCGACTTTTAACTGGGCTCCAGAGAGAATGTACGACCTTGACTTTTAACTGGGCTTCAGAGAGAATTATGACCTCGACTTTTAACTGAGCTCCAGAGAGAATGTGTGACCTTGACTTATACCTGGGCTCCAGAGGGAAGGTATGACATGGGAGTTTCAAGTGGGTTTCAGAGATTGATGTTAGAAATACTTGTGAAAATAACATCTGGTAGAAAACTTTAATTAGGCCTCTGTGGAGAAACCAAGTATTGATGACCAGACAGGATAATGCCAATACATGCCTCGTGTAATGATAAACTATTATTTCGATACCCCGTGTAAATTGCCGACACAAATTGCCCATGACACCAAACCGTGATTCAAACACTGTACAATGTTTTACACCTCACGGCCAACTGGGACTAGCAAGCGTTCAGGACCCGTACTCATGAAACCGTTCTCATGCTTAAGCATGGATTTTGATCTTTAGCCTAATTTCTTGTTCCAGTTATTAATTTATAATAAAATCTTATTTTGTTAATGATTTGGGAAAAATTTGAAAAAACTTGAAGCAGAATACTCTTTTCAATATTTACATTTGACCTTTTGATCATTTTACATGATTTAGTTTAAGTGAGTTACGAGAAAGTTGGTTTGAGCACATAATCCTTGCTTGAGCATGAGAACGGTTTCACGATTACGGGCCCAGATCTTAGTTGTATGCAAAAAGCAGTCCACTATTTGGTGTAAAGGTAAAATCGTTTGGTCACAGATGTCCATATACAGGTTTACTGAACAAGTCAGCTCATCACTCATCACTTTTTCAACTAAATTGGCTCCCATATAATTCCTTCCTTAGGAAACAGCTCTAAAATGTCAGTATGGTCATTATGCCTCACTTACCAAGGCTATGTCTTTGCCATCTATAAGTATTTTCCCACTCTGGATGTCGTAGAACCGGAAAAGCAGCCGTAGGATTGTACTCTTGCCACTTCCTGAGTGACCAACCTTAAACAAACCATTAAAAAATGTCATGCATATTGGAGAAAAAAATGACAGAAAATATTCAGTTTCTTGATTGACTGCCAAATTCAATCAGATTTTAAATTTATGAGACTAAATATTCTTTAAGTCAATAAACAATATTCTTTAAGAAATATTGAATTTAATCCGAAAATACACTTGACAACAGGGAAACTAGCTAGAGAGAGTCTCTAAAATCTTGTTCAGTATGTTGACTAAGGGAGAGAGTCTGTACAGGTTCAGCTAATTGTTTCAATTGTGTAAAAAATATCCATGTCAACACAACACAATACAAAACTAAAAGAACTTGTCAATTCACTTTTGTAAATTAAAAAAAATATAGCTGAAAGGCCCTGATACTTTTCAATCATTTGAAGTAATACATAAAGATAATGATCCGATACTGATTATTTGTACTTACTATAGCATATGTTTCACCAGACGGTATATGGAAACTCACATTCTTCAAGATCTGTTTACTGAAACCAGAAAAGTAAAAGTGTTGAACAATTTTCTACCATATTTTTTCTCAAACTATTTCAAATAAATTTGAAAAATAAAAAAATCCATACAAAAAAGATATCTGGAATTTTTCTTCTTAACAACAGATGTCTCTTGACAAATCACACAAAATAGGTTGCAAAACACACAGAAGTCTCTGCCAAACCAAAGAGAAATATGACTTGACAAACCTCCACACATCACAGAGATATTACAATTTTTTAATCAATGAAAAACTTGCTGCCTGTTTCAATCTACCATTTGAACACTACATACCTTGGTTCGTATGAAAAGTTGACATTCTTCAGCTGAATTTCTCCGTTTCTACTTTCCAGGGGCTTGGCACCTGGTATGTCTCCGACCTGATGAATGCAAAATTAAATTCTAAAATCACCTGGTACGTGTCAATTCTAAAAGTGATATAAAACTAGATATGTAAGCTGGAAGATAACTAATACATAAATATTCAGTGATGACAATGGGTGCAAAACTTTATCAAAATATTATATATTATCTGGTATAGACAGGTTATACATTTACAGTATAACCTGTCTTTACCAGATGTCACTGAGACCAAACTATTTGACCAGTTTACATAAGTGTCCGGTTTATACAGGGTGGGCATGTCATTTTTTGAAAATACAAAAATGTAGTGTTTTGCATAAGATCTGTATACAAGTGTGTCAACATAAACAACAGAGAAATGAATCAATTACAATGTTTAATTATTTACAAAATATACAGTAAATAAGTACATTGTATATAATACAAATAAAGGGCGACCCAATATTGGATAGCACTTATTTGTTTAGAATGTGTTTGCTTTAGATTGAAGCCAGCCGAGAAATTTCAGTACCGGAATATGAACAGGTTGTTTTGACATGGATTACTATGCCATTTTTTGTGAAACAACGCTGGTTTTCGGAATGGACAGGGTCCAGTTTATACAGGGTTTAACTACAATGATTATATAGAGAAAATGCCGGGACTACAAATCACAGATGGTTTGGACAGGGATCTGGATTAGACAGGGGCCAGTTTAGACAGGTCATACTGTATCAACAGTTATTTGGATACAAGTTCTAACAGGGACTCTTGCAAATGTTCCCTAAACTATCCAAGCAGTTTCAAATGAAGCATCACAAATCATAACATTCGAAAATTCATGCCAAACAGAAGTCAAATTACAGGCATAAATGTATCATCTGTCCAGATTGTTTAAGAGATGGAGCCTGTTTGTTTATGCAGAACAACCGGTTTGTCTGTTTTAAAATGTATTTTTTTCCGGTATACGCATGCCTTACAAGGCTTTGTCAAGACTTGCCTGAAAGCAGCATCAGATTACTGGGTCCAACCTTATTTCATAAACAAACGACTCTGGTTTAGCCGGTTCAATAGTTTGGACAGCGATAAATGAAAGCGACCATTTACTTAGTAAAAAGAGGGCAATAACTCTGGGATATTAAGTTGAAACTGAAAAATAAATGCACAACTACATGATGTACCGATAATGTAAATAAAGTTTTCAGAAAAAGCTGCTCAATTACTTTGGCGAATTGCTTGGACAGTGTATATCTACAGATAAATAAATGGCCAGATTGACAGAAAGATTAGTTTACTCCAGCGTAACCAGCCCCCGGGGTATAATAATTAAACACTCTTGAGTACTGTGCATGTATACACTGAATTACACTGACCTTTGACCTTTGACCCATTACACTGACCATTGATCAGTCACACTGACTGTTGACCCTCCATCACAAGGAAGGTTTTTATCAGACAGTTATATCTGGGAACAGCTACTGATTTACTGTCTAGTACTTCATTGCTGTAGGAAATTCATGATAAAGACACAATTTCTTTGGATTTCCTGCACATTTAGGGAATTTCCGCCTCCGAGCTTTTCATACTTTAAACTTTGTCTCTTGACCTACCTCTTTATCTTCTTCCAAGAGCTCAAACATGTTTTCCATGTCTATAAAAGACTGTTGGATCATTCTGAAGAGAAAAACAAAAGGTTATTTTCAAATGTTCCAAAACAAAAGTTCAATTTTTTATAGATATTAGTACAGTGAATTAATTAATTCAGGGATTTTTAATTTAAAACAAGAAATGTAAATAGTGTTACTTATCATTTCACAAATTCACATCATGTGGTTAGATTGTTTGAAGCACCATTTAGAGGAAGGTCTGCACATCCAACAACATAATCATATATGTGAATTGTTTACATAACGATTTACTCTATCAGTTTCTAGTATGACCACACTGGATATCGGTCACCCTCGGCTTTCTCTCGTGTAACGTTATGTTAACTTTATGTTAAGTTTTGGCAGTTACGATATTCAGTCTTACCTGTAGTAGGTTCCCAGCCAGTTAAGTGGAGAATACAGTTCAGTCTTACCTGTAGTAGGATCTTCAGTCTTACCTGTAGTAGGTTCCCAGCCAGTTAAGTGGAGCATCCAGTTAAGTCTTACCTGTAGTAGGATATTCAGTCTTCCCTGTAGTAGGTTCCCAGCCAGTTAAGTGTAGCATACAGTTCAGTCTTACCTGTAGTAGGATCTTCAGTCTTACCTGTAGTAGGTTCCCAGCCAGTTAAGTGTAGCATACAGTTCAGTCTTACCTGTAGTAGGCTATTCAGTCTTACCTGTAGTAGGTTCCCAGCCAGTTAAGTGGAGCATACAGTTGGTTGATATATGTTCCAAACAGGACGTAGTCACCAACGGTCAGTTTGAGGTCTTTTAAACTGTGGACAACAGCCCAAGCACAGAGCAAAGACCCGGTCAGAACGCCCGCAGTGATGACCACATTCTGACCGGTGTTCAGCATATTTAGGGACGCTGTAGACTTCCACTCCGCTTTCTGGTAATAGATTGTACAATCCATATAAGCCAAACATTGCAAGCCATGCAAGGAGATTCATTTTGGTGATAGTTATTGAAACATATTTTTATGAGGCAATGCAACTTTTGAACAAAACAGTGAATATTTCTTCAAGCAAATTAAAGGTTGAGCTAACAGTCTCAAAACCATCAACTCAACACCATGTAATCTTGCATTTTTTAGAAATAATGCTGTACAAATCACAAGCTGTATGTAATTGAAACTGAATATGCATGTCCTTAAATGACCTTAGCTGTAGCTAGAACGTTAAACCCTGTACAACCAACCACCTAAATAATCAAGTCGCATTAACTTGCAGTAGCTAGAAGTGGCTGTAGTATAAGATGCCTAGATTGTAAAGACAATTTTCTTCAGTTTATCAATGATGTTTCTATTTGCAGTGACACTAATTCTTATTTCTGACTCATGAACCCTTGCTTATGAATTACATCTATATCACACTTTTCTTTGATTGCTGTCAACGTAGAATATTTCAGTAAAACAGATTTTACCAGAAATATGCAATAAGTACAGAGAAACTGTCAAGTTCCTTACTGGCAAAGTGTTTCAACATTGCTTTTTTATCCACACAATAAAACCTCAATATAATGCCCCTCCTTTTATTAGCCAACTTGTCCCATTTTGCTGTTCCTTAATATATTCCCCTCAACTCGTGGCCAAATTTCTTTATTAAGCGGGAATATCACCGGATAATTAATGGCAGAATTTAGAGGTTTTACAGTACTAGAAATATAACATTGCGTTGTACATTTGACTTAAACAATTGTTAAATGATAAAGGATAAGTTTGTTTTGAACACAAACATGAATTATAAACTTATTTATGTCTTTTGATTTTGACAGCTGACTTTACTGATTCGGCACACTAGTCCTGTGGCTTAGTGAGTTGTTATCAGCAGTTAAGAGTCCAGACACCGGTCATTTACATATTTTGCTTGACAAAGGAAACAGACGTTTTAGAAACCTGTAAAATCAGTTTTCAATTCCTGTTTATGTTCGAAACAAACTTAGCCTTTATTAATCAATCAAACTGATGAATCTTATTCTGAACGTTGTTTAATGGTGTGTAGGACTTAGACAGACATGAATACAATTTCTCACCTGATAATTCACAATAGCTTCGTCATATCTGTTTGTCTCAAATTCTGATGCTCCGTAGTATTTCACCTACAGTAAAGAAAACTTTGGTCATCTTTCAATTTTTCCTCCATTGTATTACGCTTCATAGCTTCATTTAGTGCCTAATAACATATTAAGGTTGAATTAAATAGGACTTTAATAGGATATTAGTGGACGCAGGCATCGCTGCCTCTATATCCACATCAATATAAGTTGAGATACATTGTAGTTTAATCCCAACCTTCACATTGTGTACACTAAATATTTTTATCTTTGTATCTTGTTTAATGCACATACAATGTAGAATTTAATCATAAATACATGTACTTCAATACATTAAGAGGATAATATTTCAATGATAATAGTTATGACGTTTGGAAATTATCTCACAAAATCATTTAATTCCCAGGAAAAAGAAAAAAAAAAGTATATATCTTGTGCAAATAAATGGATATATACAATACTATTTTGATATACACATATGAATAAAATATTAATTTGAAAATCTGACAGTTCAGATACCATTGGCTTCGATTCTGAAGCTTGATTCAATATACAGTACATGGTTCACAACCATATTTATCATATGAACACTGTGTTATGCAGTGTCATAAAGCCATCAAATGAATTATGTTGACGTAACATGTGAAATGACGTCACAAACGACTAGGAACAATCAATGTGACGTCACATCATTGTAAAGCAAATGCAATTTTCATCGTTTCATAAATGAAATTTATGATACATATGCTCGTTTTGGATTTTTCATATTTGCTCGCCATCGCAAACATGAACAAGAGGCCCAAGGGCCTTGGCGGTCACCTGAGTTATATCATAGGTACTGGTAGCTTTATTTTATTGTTTAGATGTGATGTGGAAATCAGCATGTAAACTAAGTGAAATACAATACTTGTCATGTCATCAAAGGATAAGAATTTGAAAATATTGGTAAATGTTCCCTTTGGGGCCCCGCCCTAGCCCCTGGGGATGGGGCAGGAATCCCAATTTTCCAAAGTTATACTCTCATTCACCAAAGATGATTCTGACTAAGTTTGAGTAATTTTCTGCTGAAAATGGATAAAATATATACCCAAAAGTGTTATTTCCCTATATAAACTAAAGTAAACTTTAGCCTCTCCCCAAGGGAGAAAGGATAGCTCGGGGGTCCTGAAATTTACAATTTAAAGAAAGCCCTGAATGATCTTTCCATCCATGCAGAGAAATGACTGTAATACCTCTGAGTCTGGAGAAGAAGATTTTTGAAATATTGGTTAATTTTCCCTTTTGGGCCCCGCCCTGGCCCCTAGGGTTGGGGTAGGAATCCCAATTTTACAATTTAAAACCATCTTCCTCCTCCAAGGATGATTCTGACCAAGTAAAAATAATTTCCAACAGAAAATTGTCAAAATATACCCAAAAGTGTTGTTTCCCTATATAAACTATAGTAAACTTTACCCCCTCCCCAAGGGAGAACGGATAGCTCGGGGGTCCTGAAATTTACAATTTAAATAAAGCCCCTGATGATCTTTCCATCCATGCAGAGAAAATGACTGTAATACCTCTGAGTCTGGAGAAGAAGATTTTTGAAATATTGGTTAATTTTCCCTTTTGGGCCCCGCCCTGGCCCCTAGGGTTGGGGTAGGAATCCCAATTTTACAATTTAAAACCATCTTCCTCCTCCAAGGATGATTCTGACCAAGTAAAAATAATTTCCAACAGAAAATTGTCAAAATATACCCAAAAGTGTTGTTTCCCTATATAAACTATAGTAAACTTTACCCCCTCCCCAAGGGAGAACGGATAGCTCGGGGGTCCTGAAATTTACAATTTAAATAAAGCCCCTGATGATCTTTCCATCCATGCAGAGAAAATGACTGTAATACCTCTGAGTCTGGAGAAGAAGATTTTTGAAATATTGGTTAATTTTCCCTTTTGGGCCCCGCCCTGGCCCCTAGGGTTGGGGTAGGAATCCCAATTTTACAATTTAAAACCATCTTCCTCCTCCAAGGATGATTCTGACCAAGTAAAAATAATTTCCAACAGAAAATTGTCAAAATATACCCAAAAGTGTTGTTTCCCTATATAAACTATAGTAAACTTTACCCCCTCCCCAAGGGAGAACGGATAGCTCGGGGGTCCTGAAATTTACAATTTAAATAAAGCCCCTGATGATCTTTCCATCCATGCAGAGAAAATGACTGTAATACCTCTGAGTCTGGAGAAGAAGATTTTTGAAATATTGGTTAACTTTCCCTTTTGGGCCCCTCCCTGGCCCCTAGGGTTGGGGTAGGAATCCCAATTTTACAATTTGGTAGCCTCATATACCAAGGATGATTCTGACCAGGTTTGAAAAAATTCCATCCACTGGTTTTTGAGAAGAAGTTGATAATGTAAAAGTTTACGCACGACGGATGACGACGGACGGAAAGTGATTGGAATAGGTCACTTGAGCAAAGCTCAGGTGACCTAAAAATCCAAAATGACTATCATAAATCTGATAAGAAGGGAAACGAATGACAGATCGCCTATTTAGGCTGAGATGATTTGAGTGGTTTTTTTTTACATATTTAGAATATATTGTTTTTTAACCCTCAACAATGAGATAAGGGGCATTTTTTTTAAAAAGAAGTATATCTATGAAAAATAGTCACCATAGAAGACTATGAAAATTTCGCTTTTACAAAATTTCAAAATTTACAGAGCAAATATGACATGATACAAATTAAACTCAAACTGTGATCTGCCAACATTGACATTTTCAAAGTTTAGCCTTCATCCCTGATTTGAAACCAAAGGAATTTGCAACAATAACTGAGTAATTAGGTTATTGTCCAGAACACTTCTTGGATTTCTTCTGATATTTTTGAAAAAAAATCCTTGTTTTGGAAACATGAATTTGTTTCAGAAGGATACTTGAACATGACTTTCCATTTTTTGGGGGAAAAATTCCTTAAAAGTATTTCCCCTGCAAAAATGTCCTACGTATACAAACCGTTTCAAAGTTAAGGAGAGAGTCGACAGATTTTGAGTTTCGTTCATTGTCCAGTTTGTTCATATCCCTTCTATACTTCGTCCTCCACTCTGTTACGCCAATGGTCACCGCTGGAAAAATCAACAAAAACAGGTGTTAAGACAAATGTAAAGATAGGAATATATTCTTAACATGGCCAGTCATGTAAAAGTGAAAATTTGTGTGTGTTGAAATTCTTGCATTTTTTACTTCAATATCAAAAAATTTTGTTGCCAGGAAAAAGTTTCTATGTGAATTGTCTTGCATTCATGCTGAATCAGTATGTATCAATGTGTTAGTGAGTAATGTTTTCATGCTGAATCAGTATGTATCAATGTGTTAGTGAGTAATGTTTTCATGCTGAATCAGTATGTATCAATGTGTTAGTGAGTAATGTTTTCATGCTGAATCAGTATGTATCAAAATGTTAGTGAGTAATGTTTTCATGCTGAATCAGTATGTATCAATGTGTTAGTGAGTAATGTTTTCATGCCGAATCAGTATGTATCAATGTGTTAGTGAGTGATGTTTTCATGCTGAATCAGTATGTGTCAAAGTGTTAGTGAGTAATGTTTTCATGCTGAAACAGTATGTGTCAATGTGTTAGTGAGTAATGTTCTCATGCTGTATCAGTATGTGTCAATGTGTTAGTGAGTAATGTTTTCATTCTGAATCAGTATGTATCAATGTGTTAGTGCGTAATGTTTTCATGCTGAATCAGTATGTATCATTGTGTTAGTGAGTAATGTTTTCATGCTGATTCAGTATGTATCAATGTGTTAGTGAGTAATGTTTTCATGCCGAATCAGTATGTATCAATGTGTTAGTGAGTGATGTTTTCATGCTGAATCAGTATGTGTCAAAGTGTTAGTGAGTAATGTTTTCATGCTGAATCACTATGTGTCAATGTGTTAGTGAGTAATGTTCTCATGCTGAATCAGTATGTATCAATGTGTTAGAGAGTAATGTTTTCATGCTGAATCAGTATGCGTCAATGTGTTAGTGAGTAATGTTTTCATTCTGAATCAGTATGTATCAATGTGTTAGTGAGTGATGTTTTCATGCTGAATCAGTATGTGTCAAAGTGTTAGTGAGTAATGTTTTCATGCTGAAACAGTATGTGTCAATGTGTTAGTGAGTAATGTTTTCATGCGGAATCAGTATGTATCAATGTGTTAGTGAGGAATTTTTTCATGCTGAATCAGTATGTATCAATGCGTTAGTGAGTAATGTTTTCATGCTGAATCAGTATTTATCAATGTGTTAGTGAGTAATGTTTTCATACTGAATCAGTATGTATCAAAATGTTAGTGAGTAATGTTTTCATGCTGAATCACTATGTGTCAATGTGTTAGTGAGTAATGTTTTTCATGCTGAATCAGTATGTATCAAAATGTTAGTGAGTAATGTTTTCATGCTGAATCACTATGTGTCAATGTGTTAGTGAGTAATGTTCTCATGCTGAGTCAGTATGTGTCAATGTGTTAGTGAGTAATGATTTCATGCTGAATCAGTATGTATCAATGTGTTACTGAGTAATGTTTTCATGCTGAATCAGTATGTGACAATGTGTTAGTGAGTAATGTTTTCATGCGGAATCAGTATGTATCAATGTGTTAGTGAGGAATTTTTTCATGCTGAATCAGTATGTATCAATGCGTTAGTGAGTAATGTTTTCATGCTGAATCAGTATGAGTCAATGTGTTAGTGAGTAATGTTTTCATTCTGAATCAGTATGTATCAATGTGTTAGTGAGTGATGTTTTCATGCTGAATCAGTATGTGTCAAAGTGTTAGTGAGTAATGTTTTCTTGCTGAATCAGTATGTATCAATGTGTTAGAGAGTAATGTTTTCATGCTGAATCAGTATGTGACAATGTGTTAGTGAGTAATGTTTTCATGCCGAATCAGTATGTATCAATGTGTTAGTGAGTGATGTTTTCATGCTGAATCAGTATGTGTCAAAATGTTAGTGAGTAATGTTTTCATGCTGAATCACTATGTGTCAATGTGTTAGTGAGTAATGTTCTCATGCTGTATCAGTATGTGTCAATGTGTTAGTGAGTAATGTTCTCATGCTGAATCAGTATGTATCAATGTGTTAGTGATTAATGTTTTCATGCTGAATCAGTATGTATCATTGTGTTAGTGAGTAATGTTTTCATGCTGAAACAGTATGTGTCAATGTGTTAGTGAGTAATGTTCTCATGCTGAATCAGTATGTATCAATGTGTTACTGAGTAATGTTTTCATGCTGAATCAGTATGTGTCAAAGTGTTAGTGAGTAATGTTTTCTTGCTGAATCAGTATGTATCAATGTGTTAGAGAGTAATGTTTTCATGCTGAATCAGTATGTGTCAAAGTGTTAGTGAGTAATGTTTTCTTGCTGAATCAGTATGTATCAATGTGTTAGAGAGTAATGTTTTCATGCTGAATCAGTATGTGACAATGTGTTAGTGAGTAATGTTTTCATGCGGAATCAGTATGTATCAATGTGTTAGTGAGTGATGTTTTCATGCTGAATCAGTATGTGTCAAAGTGTTAGTGAGTAATGTTTTCATGCTGAATCAGTATGTGTCAATATGTTAGTGAGTAATGTTTTCATGCTGAATCACTATGTGTCAATGTGTTAGTGAGTAATGTTTTCAGGCTGAATCAGTATGTGTCAATGTGTTAGTGAGTAATGTTTACATGCTGAATCAGTATGTATCAATGTGTTACTGAGTAATGTTTTCATGCTGAATCAGTATTTATCAATGTGTTAGTGAGTAATGTTTTCATTCTGAATCAGTATGTATCAATGTGTTAGTGAGTGATGTTTTCATGCTGAATCAGTATGTGTCAAAGTGTTAGTGAGTAATGTTTTCATGCTGAATCACTATGTATCAATGTGTTAGTGAGTAATGTTTTCATGCTGAATCAATAATTGTACAACTTGAAAGGAGTAGATATTGAAACACATTTGGGTACAACAAAAACACTGTTGGAAATTTCCCAGAGAAATGTTGACGTTAACATTGCCTATTCACTCTTTATGGCACTGGTTGAGGAGAGAAATTAGATTTGAAACTCGTAATTACTCAATAATAGTTACTTAGACAATAATAGTTACTTAGTCAATAATAGTTACTTAGTCAATTATAGTTACTTAGTCAATAATAATTAGTAATTACTCAATAATAGTTACTTAGACAATAATAGTTACTTAGTCAATAATAGTTACTTAAGTCAATAATAGTTTCTTAGTCAATAATAATTACTTAGTCAATAATAGTTACTTAGTCTGACAATGATAATTAGTAATTACTCAATAATAGTTACTTAGTCAATAATAATTAGTAATTACTCAATAATAGTTACTTAGTCAATAATAGTTAGTAATTACTCAATAATAGTTACTTAGTAAGCGACAAGGTGATCATTTCACATGGGCACCAACAACTCTTTATGTTGATTTCTAGTTGTTGATGAATACTCACTCAAATACAGGACCATACACACGAACACCACCAAACCAAAGAGGTAGTTGAACGTGGTGATGAAGTATACTATTGCGATGACGATGTCAATAATGGTCGGAAGGATCTGGAAAACAACGTAACTGAAAAGGAAAACAATATTTACATAAAGTGAATAATTGGTAAAAATGGTGAATAAAATTGAATTATCGAATCCAATTAAATTGATTGCTATTATATCAATGGTTGGAAAGATCTGGAATACCACATTATATGTAAAGGAAATATATTTCATACCGGTAAGGTGAATTATAATGTAAAAAAATACACTTTATGTATTATATACTGTGAAACCACTTGTTGTTGTTGAGGATTTATTTTCGTAGATTTTGCAGATACTCTTAATCCCAAAATTCATACGTTCCATTAAGTTTTGTAACCAGTAATAACAGATGAAGATGAAAACAATGTTGGGTCTGAAGAGTATAATGTATAAAACTTTCATATATTATTTATTAAATATATATTCAGTAAAATTATATCGGTTAATTTTCAAATTCAAAAGTTACGAGTTCATGTCTCTTTAATTTTTTTTTTTTTTTTTAAAACACTTAAATTTGACACATCTACATTTTTCAAGTGATAGACAGCACACTGGGTACCTGAGAAGGCTGTTAATACTGTTGGTTCCCCTGTCCACCACTCGCAGTACTTCGCCGGTCTTTCTCTGAAGGTGCCATCGTAGGGAAAGGCTGGTCAAAGTAGACAAATAAGGATGATGGATGGTCATCTAGTCAGAATACGAAATTGACACAACAGGTATGCCACACTAGCTACTTAGGAACAGTTGATAGAAATGCTATTTGATTAATTAAACTTATCAATCTGGAATATTTCATGCATTGAACTTAAAAATGAAATGGCATGGGTCAGATTTTAAATTCTCTTCTAGTGATCTAAAATCATGAAAACACTTGTACAATTTGAGACGTTATTTATAAGGACAGGTACTTGTCATCAAAACTAATACATTTCGATAGATGTGTTGATAAACCAAAGCTGATATTTATTCTTGGTTCACATAGACACCAGACACAAATATTCAAAGTTAAGGTTGAATTTTGAAGCACTGAACTATAAGAAGGTAAAAGACAAAAAAAATAGTCTTAAGTATTTTTTGGTAAAACTGAATTTTCTAGTAGATTTCAATAAAATTTTCATAAGACAGAATTTTCAAGCAATTTTTGTAAAATTAAAATTAATCCACTTTTCAAGCACTCTTCCCGATCTGTAGAATTACTGTGATCTCTTATTAACAAATTTTAACAACAGTATTTTAGACTTAACATATATTGTTTGTAATTTTATAACTTGGTTTTTATCATATTGATGTTCTTTCTGTTTGATCTTTTTCCAACTTTCTATTAACCTATGTGATAGGAAATGAAAGTGTTGATAAACCAACACAATTACAAACAACGGTGAACCAACGTCCTAGAGCAATGGTCTGTAATCTGTATGGCTCGGGAAACAGAGGTGGATCCCGAGGGAGTATTCAAACAGAGTTCCATCCAAGTAAAGTGCAATACAATAAGTTAAATGAGAGATCATCAACACAATAACACAATCCTTGGTGTTGATAACCCATCATTTACCTAATTGTATTTACCTATGTAAAACTATAAGCAGTGTTATTCTTCTGCATGTATCTTTTTAAGCTGACTTTTCTGACAATCATAAAATGATTCTGGTAACTATAACGTATGAACATATATTATTACCTGTGCAGGTGGCGAAAAAGCTTCACCTGTATTTTCCTAGTGGTAAATTGTTGAACTGGTATCCATAGAAATGTCCTTATGTTGCTAAGGAATCCTGAGGTACCTGTAAACAAAACAATATGTTGACAAAGAGCATTATTCGTCTGCTGAAAAAACGGAACCACTCGGTAGTGAAGCGGACATAATACCACTCAAACAGACAAAATCAGGGGGAACCACTCGGTAGTGAAGCGGACATAATAGCACTCAAACAGACGAAATCAGGGGGAACCACTCAGGNCACTAATCTGCCCCAAAGAAGGGGAATCCACACACCTCAGTTTAAACAAAATTGATTCTTTTCTCCCTAAGCATGCTTCAGACTGCATTTGGTTTAAATCCCTTCACTTGTATAGTAGGAGAAAAAAAATCCTCTATTTCCCCTATTGGGCCCCGCTCCTATGCCGCCAGAAGGCCCACACCCTCCGTTTATACAAACTTGAGTCTCCTTTGTCCAAAGATGCTCTAGGACAAATTTGGTCAAAATCCTTCAATTGGTTGAGGAGAAGATTTTTAAAGATTTACCTATTTTCCCCTATTTGGCCCCGTCCCTCTGCCCCCAGGGGGACCATACCCTCCGTTCATACAAAACTGAGAACCCTTTGGCCAATGATGCTCCAGACCAAATTTGGTCAAAATCCCTTCATCGGTACAAAAGGAGAAGGATATTTGATGTTTTCCTCTATTTCCCCTAATGGGCCCCACCCATCTGCCCTTAGAAGGAGGCCCACACACCTCAGTTTATACAAAATTGATTCTTTTGTCCCTAATCATGCTTCAGACTGCATTTGGTTAAAATCCCTTCACTTGTATAGCAGGAGAAAAAAATCCTCTATTTCCCCTATTGGGCCCCACCCCTCCGCCCCACCCTCCGTTTATACAAACTTGAGTGTTCTTTGTCCAAAGATGCTCTAGGACAAATTTGGTAAAAATCCTTCAATTGGTTGAGAAGAAGAACATTTTTAAAGATTTACCTATTTTCCCCCTATTTGGCCCCGCCCCTCTGCCCCCAGGGGGGTTATACCCTCCGTTTATACAAAACTGAGAACCCTTTGGCCAATGATGCTCCTGACCAAATTTGGTCAAAATCCTCTGAGCCATTCAGGACAAGTAGCATTTTAAAGGAAAAAGTTGACGGACGCCGGACGCTGCACCATGGGATAAGCTCACTTGGCCTTTCGGGCCAGGTGAGCTAATAAAACACTTTCACAAATATGTATCACATTTCACATGATAGTATAATGAACTTGACACAAAAAGAGATTATTTTACTCTCAGTTGCCCGAGATAAACAATATCCGAACAATAACTTTAAGACTCTTTAGAGGTCTGAATCAAGTTTTTCCACGACATCAGGAGTTGAAACTAGCACATACCACAACACCTGGGCTACACAACGTCATACCTGAACCCCCGCCCTTCAGGAAGAGCAGAACAGAGTAGATGAGGATATATTCCCAGCAAAACTCTGGCCTATGTACATCTGCCTGGACTGTAGTGCTGACGGGTCCCTCGGATAAACTGTTCACTACAGACAAATAGGAATGTTGCACTTATGTACCTGTTTTCAGAATAAAGACACATAAGTAATACAATTCTTGTTGTATGTTCAATAAAGAATACGGGGAAACTTTGTTCCAGTACTTATAATCACTGTCACAACAATACTCCCTCATTATGAAGGGAAAAAAAGGCAAAAGTTAAAACTGTGGTGAACATTTTCTAGCATACAGTACAATACTTGGTTATGACATAAATGAGAAGGGTATTGTAACAGTCATGCATTAACAGAAATTGTAACTATCTGGACTTGAAGTCTGAAAAGTGTCATTAACACAATATTTTAAAACACCACTTATCGGGGGGGAAAAAATCTGAAAATTACATAATAATTATGTTTTTGTATTTCTAGTCTTCAGATATTGAGTTTCAATCTCTCTTTAAACGTAGTAAATAAGTTTTTAATCTCAACGTTTTTGAACACATTCAAGATAAAATGCTTGCATAAACTCTGGAAAATTAGGCTCTGAGCAACTGTGTCCTGGTCTATCAGCTAAGTTTCATTATCCTTTAATGACCATACATTACTATTTCATGATCATGTTTAAAGGTCTAACGAATGTAGGCTATGGCCAAGGAATTCAAACCACGCCTAGCTAGGCTACCGTCACACCTGGATTCAAACATTGGCAATGTTCTAGAGCTCAAAAAGGACCAGGACTGAGCGACACTGATTGAGGGCATTGACTACACAGGTAGATATGCCTCCTGTAAATTTAACATACCTATGTACTTGCTGTAGATTGGTACCAAGACATTGATGCCTCGCCCGACACCCAGTATCACAAGACATGCGATGACCACCAGCTGGCGCCACCTACTGCCCTTCGGCCACACGTAGGGTAACATCATCCGCAGTTTCTTTAGCACATTGGCCCATGTTGAGCCTTCGTGAACTCTTGACCTACCCCCTCCTCGCTTGAAAACAGATTTTATGGGACAAATAAAAATTCATGCAGCTGGCTTTGCAGAAGAATATCTAATGACTTTTTTTCTTTGACAAACATTCATTATGATTTTATCATATATACATATATATCTTGCAATAAGCCCAGAGGGCCAACAAATCATCTCCGACTCGGAAGTAGCTAGGGCTATCGACTTTTGTCCTGAATCACAACAAACATGTACGCGGAACCAATACCTCAGTTTATCAGTACACCACTATCACTTTAATGTCCAATGCCTCAGGGATAAGGAACCTTAAAAGTTACAATAGAAAATTAAACCTAATACCTGTTCCGCATCGTTGATCAACATGTGGTACCTACTGCTTGGCACACCCGGAGCACGCAGACCTATGCCCAACACCAACAGAACGCATGCATAACGCACCACCCACAGGCCAAACTCTATCTTGTCTGACTTCCTACAGAGAAATAAAAAAATTGTAAACATAAATAGCATTGAGTCCTAGTCTTTAAAAAGTTCATAGCTGATGAGAGCTATTTTAGCTCAATTTCCTTATACGTTAATATAAGGTCATATTTTCTCAAATTTGAATGAAATGTTTTTAATAAATATTTACAGATGATTATGTTAAGAAATCAACTCTTCACTTGGAACAAAAAAAAGGAATCTGGATCATTGAAACACTATTCATATGGAATGTTTGAGAATACATTGACATTTAATTAGAATTTTCCAATTAATACAATTAATACAAGTAAAGAAGTGTTTCAGGATTAAAGACCTGATACAGTCAGAATCAATCCTGTCATGTATATCTAAAGACTTACCAATACATGTACCTACCTTTAAAATGTATCACCTATCTATATAACTATGAGTAAATCAATGACCTTATTGCTTCTTTCCTTATGTATGGAAAAGACTTCCTTACCATCGGTGTATAAAAACCATTTTCTGGTTTTCTATTTTGGATTCCTACTTTATCAGCATGTTTAACTGTATGCAAGGCTAGAAACTAATTTTGAATACCAGTAGTAGTTTTAAGCAAGATAAGCAGTATCAAATTTTGACAAGTCAACCGGGCTAGCAGGTTTTAGAGCCACTAGTCCTGCTGTAGATTTACTAGTCTCAGACCATTGGGTTAACCTTATTGTATGTACTCTACCCTGACATATCTTTGGGAACGTATGTGCAGGTTTATAAAAAAATCTCAAAAACAATTACGTTTCAAGGGACCACCACCATAAAGGACTCCACCAGGAAACGAAAGCCAGGTTTTCTTTGATGAACGCTAGACCCCAGATCACAAGGAGCACAAGACCATGGCCGCGGGTCGGAATGGATGGCAGGGCGCTGTTCCGCTCCAACAGTAGTAGACGTATCGTAGACATCCAGACAACAGACATGGCTAGTGCTGTAAGGAGCTGATACCCCACCACATACTCCGGCTGAATCATTATGTCTTGTAAGATGACATGCACAACTGCTTCCAATGCCAGAATAAGGGTCAATATTATTTGCAAAGAAAATCCACATGATCCCTCCGTGAATATTTTTTTGTCCACTGGTATTGAGTATTTCCTGAAGATTGAGCACTGGATGCATCCAAATATCAACAAGAAGACAAAAATGACTGAAGATGCAATGGTATCGAGGAAGCAAGAGTTAATGCCCTTGTCTGACCATACTATGGTAAAGTCTGTTGTGTTGTGACAGAACTGCATGGCTACGAATTAATGTCTTCAAAATCAGGTATCAATCTGAAGAATAGAAATAGAGGCTGATTATTATATAACATATTAAATATCAATAATTAAGATGATCAATAGATTGACGTTCACGGGGTTTTTCCAAATCTGATTGCATACTGTGACAAAAAAATTGTGGGGAACACCCCACAGATTTTTGTCCAATCAGCAATCAAATATTTAAATTCCTTTCACTGGTATTTGCATGAACCTAGTGCTGTTTCACACTTCAGAGTGGAAATGGTTTACGCATTGTAAACCATGTATTACGCATTGTAAACCATGTATTACGCATTGTAAACCATGTATTATGCATAGTAAACCATGTATTACTCATTGTAAACCATGTATTATGCATTGTGAACAATGTATTACTCATTGTGAACAATGTTTTACGCATTGTGAACCATGTATTACGCATTGTAAACCATGTATTACGCATTGTGAACCATGTATTGCTCATTGTGAACCATGTATTATGCATTGTGAACCATGTATTATGCATTGTGAACCATGTATTACTCATTGTGAACCATGTATTACGCATTGTGAACCATGTATTACTCATTGTGAACCATGTATTACGCATTGTTAACCATGTATTACGCATTGTGAACCATGTATTACTCATTGTGAACCATGTATTACGCATTGTGAACCATGTATTACTCATTGTGAACCATGTATTACGCATTGTAAACCATGTATTACTCATTGTAAACCATGTATTACTCATTGTAAACCATGTGTTACTCATTGTGAACCATGTATTATTACTCATTGTGAACCATGTATTACGCATTGTGAACCATGTATTACGCGTTGTAAACCATGTATTATGCATTGTAAACCATGTATTACTCATTGTGAACCATGTATTACGCATTGTGAACCATGTATTACGCATTGTGAACCATGTATTTCAGTGTTATTTTCGTCTTTACAGTAGCACTAGTTCATTTCCCTATTGTAACGTGCAGGCAGCCACCCATCCAACTACAAAACCACGCTCGACACTGCTGAACTAGTGAGCTTGTCCCCGGGTAATACTGCATCACTGGAAAAGCTAGTCACCCATCCAACTACAAAACCATGCTCGACATTGCTGAACTAGTGAGCCTGTCCCCGGGTTATACTGCATCACTGGAAAAGCTAGCTTGCCAGTAAGGCAGTCTTTTTCCGTCTTATTCCTTAACTGTACACTATTCCCAGTATTCTCCCCTCCGAGAAGTCTCGTCCCACGACTTAGCCTGTGGAATCCTGTGAGTTCTCCCTGTGTGCCAATGCAATGCACCTTCCCTTACCACCGGGAACTGGCCTTACATGATCACACAGTGTCACTACGCTGCAACCAAATTTAACGCATGGGCGGTCACCCATCTAACTACTGTCTACTGACCACTTGACATTACTGAACTAGTGAGCAGGTCCCCAGGTCACTCAAAAAGAAAACTTGCCAGTAAAGCAGTATTCTTCTGTCTTATTCCTTAGCTGTTACATTATATACAGTATTTACAATCCCAATGACTATATATTTGCCTTAAAATTTTATGATAATCCCATTGAAATAAATATGGAACAAGGTGATTTTGATGTACCAACATGAAAATTCATAATTATAACTTTTTTATACCAGCACTACGCTCATGTACAGAGCACTGTTGGTAGTGTCAGTTTATTGACCGGAAGCTTACTTAATTGTGCTTGTGATAAAAGGATGGTTCAATTTCCTCAAACACCAGAATGTGTGTTAACGTTTGTGTCCTTGAGCAAGACACATGTTACTCACTAGTACTCCAGTCCATCTGCCTTAAGTGGACTATACTTTAGTAATATGTGTATTAACTATATGGTCTTACAGTTTATTTGCTGTAGTATTCAAGTGGTATGGCATGCGCATATTACATGACAAATCATAAACAAGTGATTCACCTATACAACCTCCAGCCATCATTGATACTATAGGGGTTAAATGCTCACTTACGCTCTCTGCACCCCTGGAATGTCATGACAAAATAGAAGGCTCATGATCAGTGAGCACCTCCTTGTTGGCGAGACAAAAAGACTATTTCGGGTGTCGCTTCTCTGTAATCTTCAAAGGACAGGTATCAACCTGGCGATTGGTCAGGGTTTTTTACCCAAGACCAAACAAACAACTATCTTCGTACCTTCGATTTTGCTATGACATATTCCAGGGGTGCTGAGAGCGTAAGTGAGTGTACATGTTACCCCTTTAGTATCGAGGAACCTCTAGCATTACACTGCACAAAACGTAGAGATATAATATGTAGGGTCTTGTTACAAGCATTGGGTGTAAGCTTAGCAAGGGGATACCCAAACCCGAGTTGTAAATAGTTGTTGGAAAAAATAAGGAAGAATGTCAGCGACTCGATAGCTCAATTGGTAGAGCGTCATCTAGAGTATGGAGGGTACCAAGTTCGAACCTCGATCTGGCTGTTGTATTTCTCTTTCTCCTGTTACAACTCTATTTTGGTACTACTACTTCAGATTTACAATCGCATACAAACGTTACATCACAGGGTCTCGTTACTAATGTCTGAAATACACATATGCTATATATACTGATATGGGTAACAACACACATAAACCTACACCAGTGACCTGTATGTTTATGTGTCACAACACACATGTGTTGTTGCCAATATCAGTATAGCATATGTGTATTTCAGACATTTGTAACGAGACCCTGTGGTTACATATAACACCTGACATATTCTACCAATTAGGGATGAAACTAACAATATATATATAAATTGATTTAAGAGTCTGCATGATCACTATTTTTGCAAATGACTTGAAAGTTTCAGATGGACAGATAAAGTGACCGAATTAGTAAAAGGGTTTTGCTGCACTGCATGCCTTAGTGCTTTCAAATGAGATTTTGTTTTTTGGGGTGAGAGATGTTGATAGTTTTTTTTAACTGACAGATACCAGAACCTCAGGATCTGTCAATTTGTACATTTAATCTATGTCTACTACACAGAATGTGTTGTCAATATATTAATGTTACTATATACATATATAACAAGTGTTCCGAACTCTTTTGATTTAACATGGGCCCTGATCTGACAGCCTATATTTTCACACTGAGATTTCAAGACCCGTTTTCAGATTATTGAATACACAGACTGTCACAGTTCAAGTTCAGATTCTCCAATTGTCGAAGTGTCATAGGGCAACTGAACACTGGTTAACGGCAAATACAAGTTTTGTCCCTATTATGCTGTTATGACCTTCTTCAGTTCACAAAACTGAAACTTACGTAAATGTGCAGCACAGCTCAAGCCTTTGTCATTCGGAATGTGAAGCTCTCCGGGAAATGTGAAGCTGTTTAAATAATGTCAAAAACACATTCTTGAATATTCAAGAATATTCTTCCAAGAAAAACGTGACAACATGACTTTGCAAAATTTCGAGAGGTGTTTTGAGTGTTGGCGCTTTGGCGTTTTCGTAATCGATGCGTCAATTTTATGCTTGTATAGATAAAGCATCGTTTTGGCTTGACAATCAAACATTGATACGATCAATTTGGTGAAAATATAAAAATAAAACCGCATGATGACCAAAATTCCGGAAATTATACTACCATAGCCCCATTATCTGTCAGTAAATCCTGCAGGATATACTGCTTGTCTGTTTAGTCCTATTTCTTTATTTTCCTGATCTTTATTTCTCTTACATTTTTATTCTATATACTTATCTTTTTAGAAAAGTCATATATTTAATAAATTAATGGATGTTTTTTCCTTTTCCTTTTTAAATTGGCATAAAACATGTAGCAAAAACAGGGTAGTTAAAATTGTTGTTGGAAAAATAATTGCCTTCAGCTTTTCTGGTTTAGAGTAACTTCCTCGAGCTCTGTCAATATTTTCATAGGTAAATTGCAGCCCCAAACGGTAAATTGTAGTCTATGGTTTGGGCATGTTTTGGCCCCAAAATGCATCAAAATTCAAAACCTTTAAATAAACTTTCAAACAACTGTTACATAAATATTGACCGAATACTTCCCAAATACTATCATGAAAATATTGATTTGTATTTCTAATTATTGTTGCCATGGTAACAAGTTCAAATTTTCAGTGAATATTGTCATATTTTGCATAGTTTTTTCCTGGAAACTAAAGAGTGATACTTGAACATACACCAATATTATGTCTTTAGGAGAAATATTAAGTTTGTTCAAGAGTGCATTCTATGAACAAGAGGTCCAATGGGCCTGCATCGCTCACCTGGTTTTAATCTCACAATTGTTACCTTAAAAGTTCACTAAAATAAAGCTACAGGCAAAATATCAGTGTCTTGACTAAAGTCATTCAGAAGAACCTGTTAAACGATTTAAACACAGTTGACCCGTATGACCTTGAAAGTCAAACACTGACATTAAATTTAACAAACTTTATAGCCTTCATCCTAGAATGCAACGTGTCAAATATCACCATGAGTCCTCAATGGCCCTATACCTTTTGTTTACTGAGAAGATGACTTTAAAGATGTATGCACTCTGGACCAGATGTGACCTTGAAAATGTTTCAAGGTCATTTACATCACATGACCAAGCAATCATCTTGGACGCTTTAGTTATTCAGAAGAAGTCGTTTTTTATTGTTTTTAAGACAAATAACCCCTGTGACCTTGAATATGTGCTAAGGTCATTCATTTGACAAGCTTCATAGCCCTTCATGCCAATATCCTTCTGGCCAAATATCATCACCCTGGACCTTTTGATTATACAATAGAAGTCGTTTAAAGGTTTTTAAGACAATTGACTCCTGTGACTTTGAATATGAGCGAAGGTCATTCATTTGAATAAACTTGGTAGTGCTTAATTCCAGCATGTTATTGGCAAAATATCATCATCCTGGGCCTTCTGGTTATTCAGAAGATGTTATTTAAAGATTTCAACATATTTGACCCTGTGACCTTGAATATAGGCGAAGGTCACTCATTTGAACAAACTTGGTAGCCCTTCATCCCAGCATACTACTGGCTAAATATCGACACCCTAATCTCTTGGTTATTTAGAAGTTGTTTTAAAGTTTCAACATATTTGACCCCCCTGTGACCTTGAATATAGGCGAAGGTCACTCATTTGAACAAAATTGGTAGTGCTTAATTCCAGCATGTATTTGGCAAAATATCATCATCCTGGGCCTTCTGGTTATTCAGAAGATGTTATTTAAAGATTTCAACATATTTGACCCCTGTGACCTTGAATATAGGCGAAGGTCACTCATTTGAACAACTTGGTAGCCCTTCATCCCAGCATACAACTGGCTAAATATCGACACCCTAGGACTCTTTGTTATTTAGAAGTTGTTTAAAAGTTTCAACATATTTGACCCCCCTGTGACCTTGAATATAGGTGAAAGTCATTTGTTTGAACAAACTTGGTAGCCCTTCATCCCAGCATGCTACTGGCCAAATATCATTAGCCTGAGCCTCTTGGTTATTCAGAAGAAGTTGTTTAAGTAAGAAGTTGACGACAGACGGCAGGACCTTGGCATAAGCTCACTTGGCCCTTCGGGCCAGGTGAGCTAAAAACTAGGTGAAACCTGTCAAAATTGACTGAATATTCAAATTTCATTAATTTATGCAAATATTAACTGGTTACCATGGCAGCCATAATTGAAAATACTAAATAAATGTTTACATAATAGTACCAGGGAAGTATTCAAAATTGAAGAAACAGTCGTTTAAAAGTTCTATTGCAGATTGTTAATTTTGTTGCCTTCGGGCCAGGTGAGCTAAAAATCATCTTGTAAATTTTAGTGCTTGAGCATACATGTATGCTATGCCACTGAATCAACAAACATAAAGCATCTGTCGGATATTATTCTGTCATATGTTCTGGTTAAATTCTTTAGAACTTACTTTTAAAATTTTGTGTCATCCGAGAACAAACATGATTCTGAATCCAACAAGTAGACAAAGGGCCCAGAGGGCCTGTATCGCTCATCTGGATATCTTAGCAATCATGACAAAATATTCTCCAAATGAGATCCAAGGGAATATGCTAGACCCCAAGGCCAATTTAATCCTTGTAGCATATCAGTATTAGATTTTTCATGCCTAACAATTTTATGTATGGTTATGGGGTTGGGATCTCAACTGTTTCCAAGCTGTGACTCAGAAACTAGGTCCCTAGGGTTGTGGCCAGACCCCAGGATCAATTATATCATAACTGCATTCGTCTCTTTATGCCCAACAATTGTATATATAGTTTTTGGGTGGGGATCTTAACCATTTCAAAGTTATGACACAGGGTTTAAGTCTCCAGGGGTGGGGCAGACCCTGGGGTCAAACCTTATATCATGACTGTATTCGTCTCTTCATGCCCAGCATTTGTATATACAGTTTTGGGTGGGGATGTCAATCGTTTCAAAGTTATGACCCAGGGACTATGTCTCAAAGGGTGGGGCCAAGGGGGTCAGCCCCACTACTTGTACAATTTGAATCCCTGCCTCCAATGAATGCTTCCAACCAAATATGATTGATATCCAGTGCATAGTTCTACAGAAGAAGTAATTTATAGCAATATAGCCAAATTGCCCCCTTTTGGCCACTCTCCGCAGCCTCCTGGGGGGTCAGCCCCACCATTTGTACATTTTTGAATTCCCACTACCTAGGGATGCATCCAGTCAAATATGCTTGATGTCAATCTCTTAGTTCCAGAGAAAAAGTTGCTTTCAGCAATATAGCCAAATAACAGGTCAGACCCACCATTTGTACACTTTTGAATCCCCGCCTCTCATGAATGCTTCTGACCAATACGATTGATATACCCAGTGCATAGTTCTACAGAAGAAGTCATTATAGCAATTTAGCCTAATTGCCCCCTTTTGGCCACGCCCTCCATTTGTACAATTTTGAATCCCCACTACCTAGGGATGGTTCCAGTCAAATATGGTTGATGTCCATATTTTAGTTGTAGAGAAGACGTCGCTTAAAGCAATATAGCCAAACAACCCTTTAAGGCCCCACCATCTAGGGATGCTTCCAGTCAAATATGGTTGATATCCATCTCTTAGTTCCAGAGAAGAAGTTGTTTAAAGCAATATAGCCAAATTGGCCCCTTTTGACCCCGCCCATCAGCCCCCTGGGGGGTTAACCCTACCATTTGTACAATTTTGAATCCCCACCACCTAGGGATACTTGCAGTCAAATTTTGTTCAATTCCAATCAGTGTTTAAGTCGTCTGAAGAAATTGTTTACGTAGACGGATGGACGGACACCACGTGGCATAAGCTCAACTTGGTCCTTCAGACCAGGTTAGCTATAAAAACTGTTGTTTTTTCGTGTTAATTTGATGGCAGAATAACTGTCAGATTCCAATCCAAGGAAACGCTTCCCATCCATATCCGTGTAAATCGTGCACGACTCATTTATAGCAGTGTTTGGAACCTGTAAATCTACATTGGCATTTGTGTTGTCGATGAAAGTGTAGAAAACGTCTTTTATGATTATATTTTTTTTACTACGTGATGAGGGATTCTATAGGAAGAGATAATTGCCCACTTTACTATTTCAAATTTCCTTTATTTAGAGTATTAACATAAACTAAAACCTCCTTTTGGCTTTTTCGTGAAAAAGAAGCAAATTACGGTAGCATATGAATTTCTCCCATTATCCCCGACAACAGTTAGTCCAGAGCACAGGGACCCGATAATTTGTAACAGCTATATTTGGACCTAAGCTAAGGTGTTTATAGTAATTTTAAACGTTTGGGGGGATTAAGATTTGCAGGTTTTAATTGTACATACGTTACGGTCTCCCTTCATGGAAGGGGGATTGGAATTTCCCTTCTGTTAGATCAGCAAAACACTGGAATGAGAAGCCAGCGTTGCAAATACCAACAACCATGGCTTCATGGTTGAAGTTGTTTAAAGGTTTTGAACTTATTTAATCCCTGTGAGCTTAAATAAATATTAACGTCATTCATTAAAACAAACTTGTTATTCAGAAGTTGTTTAAAGGTTTCAAACATATTTTACCTCTGTGAACTTAAATATCGGTGAAGGGTCATTCATGTTAACAAACTTAGTAGCCCTTCATTCTAGCATGGTACTGGCCTAATATCAATATCCACGGCCTTTTGGTTATTCAGAAGAAATTGTTTAAAGGTTTAAAACATATTTGACCCCTTTGACCTTGAAAATTAATCAAGGTAATTTAATTTAAGAAACTTGATAGTCCTTCATCCAAGCATGCTAATAGCCAAATATCAACACTTTGGGCCTCAAGGTTATTTATAAGTTGTTTAAAAAGTTTTTTTTGTTTTTGTACATATTTGACCCCTGTGACTTTGAATATAAATCAGAGTCATTCATTTTAACAAACTTGGTAGCCTTTCATCCCAGCATGATACTGGCCAAATATCATCACCATAGGCATTTTGGTTATTTAGAAGTTGTTAAAAAGTTTTCAACATATTTGACCCCGGACCATGGCATAAGCTAACAATGACCTTATGCTCAGATCCAGGGTTGTATTTGTGTGATGCATAGTAGTACATGTACATACTATGAACAGTTGCAAGTTTCCTTGAACTTTGACTAAGCATGTAGCCAAATCTAACCTTTCAATCCTTCAAGTATTATTCTGTTGCCAAAGAAATTCCTAAGCAATTTTCAATGTCAGTTTTAAAGTTCATTTCTAATGACGAACTGCAACATTGGTTTGTACTTTTTTCAAACAAGAATGTAAGTCATTACATGCCTTTTCTTTGTTGTGTTATAAAGATATCTGGCCCAGTTTTTCAAACATTCTATATATTAATTAACTTGAGAAAAACATCATTGGATTTATCTCAAAGAATTTCTTTAATTTAAGAAACATGGCTGAAATATTTCAGAATAAAAATGAAAAATTCAGTAGTTTTTCTTTTTTCTTTATTAGAACGGCATTTAAGATTCCTTCATTTCTCTCAGACGACGAACAGCACTCCTGACTGTAGCAGCAGCGTTGGTGCTGAAAGTAAAACAAAACATATCACACTTAAAATGGTATAAAAGTCGCATAATAAAGATCACAATCTAATACAGTTCAAGTCACAGAATCATATAATGAGTATATAACAAGAGGACTAGAGGGCCTGTATTGCTCACCTGGATATTTAAGCAGTCAAGGCAATATATTCTAATAAAATATTCATAATTCTGCAAATATTTCCTGATTTNGGGGGGCTTATACTTATTATATCTTAACACCCTAACTAATGGTCTAATATTGTGCCCAACTCTCCCATGGGAACTATATATTATTCATTCAAACCAAAGATTCTTTGGGTAAAGGAACCAAGCTACTTCATAGGAAGTTTGGTTTAGATCTGAATATAAGTGTAAATGCTTATAAGGAAGAGATTTCAACTGTTTTAATGTTATGGTCCAAGGACTAAATCTCCAGAGCTGTCCCAGACCACTGGGCTAATCTTGATTTTGTGTTTGTCTCCTCATGCCACCAAGCAAATATCTCGATATAAGTCGTGTATCTCAACCATTTTCATGTTTAATATTGTTATTGCCCAGGGACAAAGTCACCAAGGGAATTACCAGACCCTGTGGCTTATTCTGAAAGTATTGTTGGGCTGAACTTGATCCAAGGGCCAACCCTAACAGTATTTATGTATTCACGTCTACGTGACAAGCAACTGGTATACGGTTATAGAGTGGGAATGAAATGTTTCCATGTTATGATGAAGGGACTAAGTCCCCTGGGATGGGGGAAAGAACAACAGAAGAGCCAACCACGGTAGCATGGATGCACTAGTCTTGCATTGTCCAATTTACTATATGTTTATAGGGTGGGTTTCTCAAGCATTTTCAAGTTATGGTCCAGACCATATTGAGTCAAAATCCAATTTAAATATAACGAACACATCAACACATCACGATTAGATAATAATAAGATCTACAGTAAAGGTCATAATTCATCATTAATGGAACGGATAAGTTTTCATCAAAACATAGCTTTTGCCAATGTTCACCTAGATTATTTGAACTCTTTTAATTCAACAGGACTGAAAATATTCATTTAATTTTGTTCAAACTGACTGGGGATTTACTGCAGTTTAGGAAACAGAGTATCTGTTAAGTAGAATATATCATTGAATTCCTCAATTACTTGTCTTTGATCTACTGGTATATATTCTCTGCATTTTACTCTGAACTACTTGTGTATTCTGAAAGATTGGAGATGACAAAAAAGAAGACGATAATCACCTGTACACCCAGGCACCACCAGCAACTGTCTTCCTGCAGCGTCTGCATGACCAGATACCCACAGCCTTCCTCTTCATGGCCTCCTGAGAACAGGCAAAGAAAAAAATCAAAAACATGAATATTTTATATTAAAAACACCTTGAACCACTAGAAAACTATTTCACAAACCAACTGATGCAATCATGATCACTGCACTTTATTCCACACACCTGCATCTTAAAGAATTATTTCTCTTTGACATAATTCTTAGCCAATTCTGGCCACACACACCTTATGCTTTTATTCCAATTTCTTGGAAACTGCAGAGTTGTTACCACAACACCATTTCCTTTTAAGGGAGCTATGCCCCTTTTCTGATTTTGGAGTATAAAATTTTGTCCAAACTTAATTACTGCTACTTACTTTCTTGACCAATATTCACAAAAATCAGAACATGAACAATTTTTAATTTTCAGGCCAGAGTAGCAGATTATTAGTCTGTATGACTTATTATTCTTTATTGTTATATTATGTCTTTTGCATTTAATATTGAAATTACCAACAAAATGCAAAACATGCACTATCTTTGAAATATTTCAAGTTCCATATAATTATTTGCTTCTAACCAATTATATTAACCCGACACATCCTTAAATGGTCGTAGCTGTTAATATAATAGGACGTAAAAAATAAATAAACCAAACCAAACCAAATTTGCTTCAAATTATGTACTTTGACAAGGAGACAGTATTAACAAAAACAACTGTATGTTAAGAAAGTTGTGAATAAACATATTTGTTCAAGTTACCTTGCCACAGAATTGGCATGTGTATTTACAATGCTGGGAGACTTCCATCTTTTTGACGGTCTTCCTTAGGGAGGCACCATAACGTGTACCATACTTCCCGCAAATCCCAACCTTCTTGGTTCTCTTGGCCTGGAAAAATAAGATATATATGATTTATAAGTTTATTCATTTTGTGTTCGGGGGTGTGCTGTTTAAATATTAGAATACCTCGGTACTATCGCAATGTACTGCTATTTTGACAATATCTAATTAAAAGTGCAATACATGGACTACATGACATAGTGCCAATCAACATTGATGAAGAAGATTGATAAAATAATTGTTGTTGGTTAAAAAGTGACTAAGTATTATCATGTTGTTTTGCATTGCCTGAATATTACTGGATATCCGATACAATGGACAACACAACATTCATGTGTTTTTCATGCATAATAATAAACCCAATGTGAATGTTAGATTAAGTTTGTTTTTCTACCAAGGCGAATCTTTGTATGCCCCTGTCCTTACACATCCACTCATTCAATATATATATGTGCCATAGGAACCGAGTCGGTACCCGTCGGAAATGTAAGTCCAAAATATACATATTTATTCATCATTTCTAAAGGGAACAGGTTCGTAATATCAACATATCGTTTATAAAATGACATAATGATACATTTGAAGCAGTAACATTATCCTGATCTTTATTAGATACAGCGATGTTAATGGATTATTTTGCGGTCATACCATTTTCAATGCCTGTTTATTTTCTTACAGGAAGGGGAAAGGATGGTGTAAATGTAAAAGCTGAGATACCTAACAATCCGGAACAAAAATAATAAGAAATCGAATTTATACAAAGATTCTTTCTATGAATAAAAATAAATGAACTATAAATCATTAACAATAAAGATCGATTATTCATAACAGATATTCTCACACAAACTTAATTATTAATATTTACTGTATATTCTGTATTTCGTACTTGTCAAAAACACACTGTTACAACTTCCGGTTTCAGTAGCACATGTCACTTCCGACTGCTGATTGCACAAGACGGCCAACTTTAGTTAGGTATGAAATGAGTTACTGTCTCTGTATGATATTGTTATCATAACAGGGTATTAACAACAGGTTGATGTTACTTTTTGAAATCAATGTTATTGAGAGAAATCAGAAACACGTTATGTGGTAGATTACTGAATTTGTCTCAAAATATAACGCAGTGCACCAGAATTTCTGTAACATATCATAAAGAGTTTAAAAGACGGGACTAAACATTATGAAACGTAAATCTGGGCATTATGTATCGAAAAGCACGTGTTTAATAACAGCAGGCTCTACGTTGTGTCATGTGTGTACTTCTTGTCACCACATGTGTCATGACCTAAGCCAGAAAAAAGGCCGACCAAATGCATCATATTCCTCCAAAAAGAGAAGTATAGATAATTATGTAGCCAAAATTATCGTGACGTAGAAACTCATCATGATGATAAAGTTGACATCATGATGATTAAAAAACTAACGTTAATGTAGCTTTAGGTAGCTGAAACTTTAATTTCTTATAACGAATATTCAATTTGAATGACTCTTATTTCTTACAGTTTTTTTAAAAGATGTCGCTATACACGTGTATTACCTGTCGGGTTGGCTTTACTGAAGTGGAACTACAGCGGAGTCATTACAAGACTGACTGGCATCGGTACAACCTGAAACGGAAGGTTGCAGAACTACCCCCTGTCACTGCCGAAACATTTCAACAGAAAGTGCTTGCCCAGAGGGCAAAGGTACATATTGTCCTCTCAGTTATGCATGTCTGTATATATATTGAAGACTGAGATTTGGTTCCTTCCCAAATAAGATGAAGACATTTATATATTCTTCCCATATCGAATAAAAATCCTTTCAAAGAATCTGAAGTTGTCTGAGATACTTCATAGTCCTCCAACTTTACATTCAGTCTCTGTACCAACTGAGCTTAAGCGAAAATTCCCTTCTTGTATGAAGCTGGAATTGCCTGGCATGTTCATACAAACAATTTTATGTATTGGTCAAATATTTCACAAATTTGCATGTGATGATGCATGATTGAATTCTTTTCATCTCCAGTACCATTTAACTTGTCACAGGTTGCGGAGGAACAGGAAGACCAATTTAGTCAGTGTGCTCTGTGCAGCAAGCACTTCAACACCAAGAACGCGTACGAGAACCATCTCAAGTCAAAGAAGCATAAAGAAGCAGTCGCGAAACAGACTGTAAAGCTCAAGGATGAAGTTCAGAAAAATAACGAAAAAAATACAGAGAAAAGCATACCTTCAGATTTGCCAGAGAGTGATAAAAGACTGATGAAAGATTGCGTGAATATGGCAAGGAAAACCAAGCTTTCACAATCATCAAAGATGGAGGCATCCGCATCAAAGAAAAGTAGACCTGAAGAAGGAATGGAGGTTCCAGATGATGAGGGTTTGTATTCCTGGGTAGCTGACATCTGCTTTCATTGTCATATGATTTTTTTTTACTGTTTTTCCAGAGAACCTACAGCAAAGTAGAACTGCAATGAAGATGGGGGTATTAAGGGTCTGACTTTTGTCATGATATCGTGAGAGACCACCTTTAGGAAGTAATGATGAAAATTTCAGCAGCCTTAAGTCTTAAAAGTAGTCGAGATCTGTTACACAGCTGATCCCTGAAGCAGGTTTGACAGTTAAACTGTACTTAGTTTATTTAGATTATTTTACTATGAATATGAGTCTGGGACTTGTGTGTAAATCTCCAGCAGGACTAGACCAGATAAAAACATATCTGTGTTTCCTGTTACATGTTGGAAAAATTAAGGGTAGGTAAAAGCAAACAATTTTATATGGTTTATATAGGAGAGTGGTCTTGACTTTAACACTGCTTCTTTGAAAATTGCCTTATAAAGTTTTGGGTAGGCACACAAAAATAGGGTAGGTAGGATTACCGGAAACACAAAATATTTTGTGTTTGGTCCTAGTAGCTCTAAAAACAGCTAGCCTGATGGACGAGTCAGACTTTAACATTTCTTATCTTGTTGAATAATATTAAGTAAGTGGATTTTGCAAATGGTCTTGTCAGTATTTGAAACTACTACCCCAATTTATAAGTGGTATTCAAAATGAATTTCTAGCCCTATACAAGACCCTTTTAAACAATTATTGATAAAAAAAAAATCAAAATGTATCAAGGGAGATAACTCTAAGAAGTTCAGCGACAAGTCTTAAAAGTATTTAGCAACTATAATACTTATAATTAGGCAGTTGACTGGATGTATCTATGTACAATTCCAATATATCATGATTGGAAAGATTAGTTTTGCTGCTGTATAACATGAATCATTTGTGTTAACTTTATTTCATAGTTTTAATTTCAACCTATTTAGTCGATAAAATCTTTTCAATGAATCCCTACTTTTTAATTTGTGTTAGTTAAAACGTATATGCTAATGAAACTTTGCATGAATGATCGGTATCTGATGTAGTTGTGCACCAACATTTTAATTTAGGATTTCGACCTTTTTGGTGGAGTTATGCCCATTTGTGCGAAATACTTATTTTATTTAGATAAGCAAAAGCATGGGCCCCCAAAACTCTTGGTTATACAATGGAGAGCTTATCAGGCTGGTTCCTAGAATTGGAGGAGATATCTGTATTACATCTTTATATTGGAGGGGATATATCTGTATTACATCTTTATATTGGAGGGGATATATCTGTATTACATCTTTCAGCAAAACTCGTTCATAACGGCTAACAAGTTTTGGTTTAGTTTGCAAGTATGTTTTGGCATCGAAAGGGAGTACAGGAAGTATGCGAGTGACCTATATACTTAATTAAATAAGTGTACAACTCAGCTAATAAAGAAATAATTATTGGTGGGAGACTATATTGCTTTGCATTAGTAAGCCTTTAGCTTACAGTTCTGGTTTATACAGGAGGGGGGGGGGGGGGGTATTAGTTAGCCTTTGGCTTACATTTCTAAATTTTACCTTTTGTTTTGTAGGTTCTGATGCTGAGTCATGCGATAGCTGGGACGAAAGTACATTTGTATTAGAAGAATGTCTCTTTTGTTCTCATGTGAACAAGTCCCTAGAGGACAACGTCAAACACATGACGTCCAAACACAGCTTCTTCATCCCCGACGTCGAGTTCCTGGTCGACCTAGAGGGTCTCATGACATATTTAGGTACGTATCCAACTGTATTCTATTTCCTTCACCCAAGATTTCACAAAAAATAACTTTAGGAACAATTAAAAGACATCACATAAAAACAAGTGTTTTGATTTTTATTCGTATGAGCAAGCTGTAAGCAAGTAATACTGAAAAAAATAGAAATTTTCACAGTGTGAAAATATTTGCGTTTTAGCTTCGGGCAAAAAAGTGCAAAAATATTCACACACGAATATTTATTGATTGATTATAGATTTCAGAATTATAACCAATGCACTTGATACTTTGTTCTATCTCTGAGACTTGATACTTTGTTCTATCTCTGAGACTTGATACTTTGTTTTATCTGTTCTATCTCTGAGACTTGATACTTTGTTCTATCTGTTCTGATCTCTGAGACTTGATACTTTGTTCTATCTCTGGGTCTTGATACTTTGTTCTATCTGCAGGTGAAAAGGTTGGATGTGGTCACATTTGTATGTGGTGTAACAACAAAGGCAAGAACTTCCACTCCACACAGGCCGTACAGAAACACATGCTAGACAAGGGTCACTGTAAAATGTTACACGAGGGCAATGCTGTATACGAGTACACAGACTTCTACGATTACAGGTAGGTGTATACCAGTACACAACACTTCTACGATTACAGGTAGGTGTATACCAGTACACAGACTTTTACGATTACAGGTAGGTGTATACCAGTACACAGACTTCTACGATTACAGATAGATAGACTGTTACACTAGACCACGATATCAACCTGTGCAATGTCGGAAATCAAACAATTAACATGATGTCATTGGGATGTTGCATATAACACAATGGACTTAAATCAAGATGGTGACATTGATTTATGTTTTCTTCATAAAGTCTCTGCTCTTTTGAAAATAAGTACACAGAAAATTTTAATTCAATTTCCCATTGTTTTATGGAAATATTTGTACTGCATTACTATATATATTCTCATAATTTTCCGTCCCCCAAAGGGCTATGTTGAAGTTGCCCCTTTGTTCAGTGGGTTAACATTATCCATTTTGTTGATGTGTTGTACAGGACGAGTTACCCAGACCACCAGGAGGAGGAATTTGATGAGGATGCAGAGGATGCTGGCATAGGACTTGAGGATGTGGAGATGCAGGAAGATGCCAAGGATGAGGAGGAGGAAGTGGACCAAAATGTCCTGGCTTCCGAAAACTACGAACTGGTGTTGCCATCAGGTAAGAGGGTCTGTCCACAGGGAAATGATGGCAGACTATGTAGAATCTTTAAGTACATTATTTATTGTATTTGATGTCCTATATATATAATGTGGTACTGGATTTACTGTACTGTATTTATACCCTCCACTTAGTGAGGGAGAGGGGGTAATCGCTTAGTCAGTGCGCTGGTGTGTGCGTCCATCTGTCGGTAGTAAAAGCTTGTGTAGGAGATATCTCATGAACCCCTGAATACATTCAGGTCATATTACACCATTGTATGGTAATACTGTGTTCTACACCTGACTAGATTTTGGTGGTCATCACACAAGTTAAAGGATCAAAAGTCATACTTGACCACTTTTGAAGGGGGAAAGCTTGTGTACAAGGTATCTCTAGAAACCTGGACATATTTATTTGACATTTTGGTGTGGTAATATCGAGTTTTACACCTGATTAGGTTTTGATTGTTATTATAGCCCTGGCAACGAAGTTAGAGGGGTATACTAGAATCACCCGCAGTAATTTGTCCAGAAAATACCATCTTAACTAACAGGCAGATTTTATTATACCCCTGCAACAAAGTTAGGGGGGGTATACTGGAATCACCCTGTCTGGATGCCTGTCGTCTGCAGTAACTTGTCTGGAAAACTCTTCCTTAATTAACAGGTGGATTTCATTGAAACTTTGCATGAATGATCAGTATCTTATGTAGTTGTGCACCGGCATTTTAATTTGGGATTTCAACTCTTTTTGATGAAGTTATGCCCCTTTTTTGCGAAATACTTTTCCACACAACTCCTCCTTAATTAACAGGTGGATTTCATTGAAACTTTGTAGAATGATCAGTATCTTATGAAGTTGTGCACCGGCATTTTGATTTGGGATTTGGACTCTTTTGATGGAGTTATGCCCCTTTGTGCAAAATACTTGTTACCGATAAGAAACAATGGATTGCTTTGCATTGCTTTGCCTTAGTAAGCCTTTAACTTACAGTTCTGGTATTTATATAGCAGCGGGGGTATAAGTTAGCCTTTGGCTTACAGTTCTAGTTGAAACTTCACTTGAATGATCAGTATATGATGTAGTTGTGCACCAGTATTTTAATTTCAGATTTCAATTCTTTTTAAGTAAGTTGACCAAAAGGTCAAGGTCACTAAAGGGGGGTATTATTAGTTATCCTCTGGATGACAGTTCTAGTTGGTGAAGGTTTAACGGTCAAAGGTTGGGGGCAATGCCGAGTGGGGGGCTCCACTCACTTGATATTTATCGTATAATATTTTATGTAACCTATGTATTTATATCTATGTATGTGTTACAGGAGCTACCATCGGACATCGTTCCTTACAGAAATATTACAGACAGAACCTGCCCCAGCGAGAATCCTCTCGCACCAAGGCCCTTCTACCCAACATGCTGGCTCATTACAAGGCCCTAGGGTGGACTGGAGCAAAAGGTAGTATAGACGCTCTCTTGGGAATAAGTCTGGGTTTTGAAAGTACCTTTCTTGCACTCATGGATGCTTACAAAGTTTGAGAATGAAAATGACCTTGACTTACTTTCAAGGTCACATCGGTCAAATATGTCAAACTCTTTAAACAACTTCTTCTGAAGAACTAAAAGGTATAGAACCTTCATATTTGGCTGAAGAGTTTGCGAGGGAAATATTTGTAGTGCAATATAATATTTAATGAGAATATTTTGCTATAACTGCTTAAATATTCAGGTGAACGATACAGGCCCTATGGGCTTCTTGTTATAAGGTAACATTTATCCTTAGGTCTCAATTTCATAGTAATTTATAAATAAAAATCGGAATGACAATAGCCTTGATAACTTATTTTTGAAAATAAATTTATTCCTTGCAAGACTTTTAGGAAAATATCATAAAAATGAAATACACAAAAAATGATGAAGAACAGTGTTCCCTGTGTAAAATTTCACTGGTACTAGACCAGGATTCGAACCATTGACCTCAAATTGGTGATACTGTCAATCTAACCCAACTGAGCTACTACCTGGTCAATGGAAGTGTAACGGCCCAATCGTGCCAGTTATATCCAAAACAGAAGTAAAAGTATACAAAATCTAGCGAGTTGCTTGCATGGACAGGGATCCTAAGTCGCCATTTCATTGTAAGGTATCATATACCCTTAAGTCTCAATGTCATAGTAAGGTTTTCCTGAATAAACAACTTTCTATCAACATTATTTTCCCCAGTGATGGTGTACTTTCACATTTCCTTTTGCCAGGAGGTACAGTGGCTGGCCCCTCTCCAATAATGTAAATATTATATTGCCATTTCATGACATTCTTCTTTTCATGTTTTCCCAGGAGCTGTTGCCCAGAAGCGTGTAAAGGACCTAGCGTTCATGCAGAGACTAAAATTACGACAGCACATGCGTCTTGGTGTCAAGGCAAACAAGTGGCAGCCCCACTTCAGGAGTCAAAACCCGTAAACGCTCCTCAAGTCTCGCCTTACTTACCATATCCCAGCACAATGGATTCTGTGTTTTCATAGTAAAGTTCATCACTCTGTTTCTGGTGACTGGAGTTTTTGTTGTTACTGATTCTGATACAGACACTCCATTTACAAATTACTTCCATAGAATGACAGATTTGACAGGTACATGTTTGGTCGCGCTGGATTCACGGATATGGATCCTAAATAGTGATGGGTGATTATCTAAAAATCGCAATTGATATTTGGTTTGTGATCAAAACAGTGTTTTTTTAAAACTAAATGTTACAGTAGCCTGTTCCTTTTCGAAAATATAGCATTGTTTTTATTGAAATTTGGAATATATTCCTCAGTTTTTGGTCATTTTGGGGATACTGGGTATTATGTGGATAAGCATATATTTACTTAAGAGGAAATCTGAAGCAATATCTTTACAAGCAGTTTGTATCTACTGAATTGGAGAAACTACTTATTACTAGACTCTGAAGAATGTTGGTTGTGCTTTTCTTCACTTGATATTTATTTTACCTTTAAAGTTTCAATAATTCCAAAAATTGTAAAACACATAATTGTGATCAGTTAAGAATGTACCAGCAAAGTCAAGATACATTTGCGACAACTTTCGACTTTTGGGGAATTTTTTTTTTCAGCGATACTTATCTGTAATACCAAGTTGTATGTGAAGATACCAGAAATCATTTTGAAATGGACACATACAAAATTGTGTTGTGTTGATATTTGACTTTGATAAATTTTGAATTGATATATAATTGAACCTGGTAGGTCTAGTCGATTTACTTCTAGCTGGATTGACGAGGCTGGACTGTACATATAGAAATATGTTGGTCATGTTTAAACATTATGCAGATAATTCATGTTTTCATGAAATGTTTCCCAATATTTATGAAAATTATGAAAGTAATAATAAAATCATTATATCTCAGAATGTTTTATTGTGTTCTGCTTATTGATTCTTTCTGTATGACATGTTTAGGTGGGGAGCCGAGCTAACTGAATACACTTCTTTTATACAACAATGGTTTTCAAGGGCCCAAGGACCTAATATGCTTGGAAAGCAAATTTGGCACGGTCGTCTAGTGGAGAACGCCAGGCTCGTGACCAAAGGGTTGCGGTTTTAAGTCACGGCATGGTTTTATATCTTTGAGCAAGATACTTTACTCCACTTGTTCAAGTCTACTCAGCTGTAAATGAGTATGTGGTCCGGCAGTGCTAGAATTGTTGAATGCTAGCTGTGAGCGTGGAAATGGCAGCACCGGCTGTATGCTCCCCAGGGAGTTGGAGAAATATATTGTCTGGTTGCAAAGGCCCTATATAACAACGGATAATAATTTGTGAACCGCTTTGAGATGAAAGCGGTATATAAGAACCTCAATATGTGTTGTAGGGCTTACGATTCTGGGACTAAGTAGTATAATTGTGTTCGTCTCTTCAAGCCTAGCAGTTGTATATGTGGTTATTTGGTGAACACCATGTTTCAGTCAAAATTCAACATGCCTCTACCTGTGGCCATCACTACGTGTATTAGCAATGTCAAAGATTTTTGATGCTGTGTCAGTTACAGTACTGCAGTGATTCAAAGTCACAATCCTTTAATCCAGAAAGTGTTCCGATACATACTGCTGGTTAGCAAAATACAACAAAAGTTCTTCTACTGATGCTGACAAACAGATGGGCTTGTTACCTGGCACCCACCCTATGCACTGAAAGTAAAGAAAAGTGGGGGTGGGGGGGGGCTTATTACCAGACATGGGCTTATCACCGGTAAAATACGGGAGTAGAATTTTAAAAGAAACGAGATCCCAGAGGGATATTGGCGCCCACGATCATACCATCTTCATTAGTTCTGTCAGTTTGATTGTCCGTTTCTTAATTCTTTTCTCTTATCTGTTTGATCAAGTCATGTACAATGTAAACAGTAAATGCACCTTGAGGTAACTTTGATCTAAACATCATACTGCTGTATATAAAAGACCGCATTCAAAGTGAGTTTGTTGTTTCCTATACATAACTAGTACCGTACTTAATGTGAAAGAAATAGAACTGATCATTGCAATATCAGAAAGATCTGTAAAGTACTAGACTTCCTAGGAAATGATAATATTCTTGAAATGTCAAAATCCAAGATGACCATCTGTAGCCATCTTACTTCTTCATCAATTTCAAAATAATACATGCACAATTATGGATCAAGGGGAAGTATAAAATTTGAGAAAAACCTGTCAATCGCTTTGTGAGAAATAATGATAACAAATCTTTCAAAATCCAATTATCCGCCTGTTGGCCATTTTGTTTATCCGATCAGCTTTAATAGTTGACAGGCACAACTACGGACCAAGGGGAACTCGCATATGAAATTTGAGAAAGGTCCTTCCAGTTCCTTCCGAGAAATAGCAATAACAAACATTCACTGTCAAAATCCAAGATGACCGCCTTTCGGCTATTTCGTATGCACAACTATGGACAAAGAGGAACTTGTATATAAAATTTGAGAAAGATCATTCCAGTACTATATGAGAAAAGGCGATAACAAACATTCACTGTCAAAATCCAAGATGGCCACCTTTCGGCCATTTCGTTTATTCGATCACTCTTTGGTAAGCATGCACAACTACGGACCTAGGTGAACTCGTTTATTTATGAAATTTGAGAAAGATCCTTTCATTTCTTTCTGAGAAATAGCAATAACAATAATTCACTGTCAAAATCCAAGATGGCCACGTTAAGATGCACAACTACAGACCAAGAGGAACTTACATATGAAATATGAGAAAGATCCCTCCAGTGCTTTCTTAGAAATAGTGATAACAAACATTCACTGTCAAAATAATAGATGGCCGCCTGTCGGCCATTTTGTATATCTGATCAATGTCAAAATTATAAGCATGCACAACAAGGGAGCAAGGGGAACTCGCATATGAAATTTGAGAAAGATCCCTCAGTACTTTCTGAGAAATAGTGATAACAAGAATTGTTTAAGGACAGATGGACCAAGGACGCAGGGTGATTTGAATAGCCCACCTTCTGATGATGAACGATGGATGCTAGCTGCACCAAAGAAAACCATAATAAAATCAAAAGCAGTAAGCAGTACTGCAGTGAGAAATAAAACTAAAGTATAACGAAACAAATTTTTAGCCTAAAGGCAAATCTTGCCTTCAAAACTGTCGATATTTAAAACAAGAGGCCCATGGGCCTTAACGGTCACCTGAGTCCTACAGTATTTATTTTTGTTGTTGAAATATGTACCAATTTGAGTAAAGAATAGTTAAGTATAATGTTAACTTAACTTTGTCAGGACCATAAGCTGATCATTCCTAGACCGATTTTCAGTGAGATCGGCCTATTAGAACTTGTTTTTAAGTTTGCAATAGGTATTTACAAAATAGCAGCCATGGCAGCCAAATTGAATTTCTGATTGACCCGATAAAATAACAACACTTTGTCAGGACCATGATTCGATCATTCCTATCAAAGTTACAGTTCAATCAGCCAAGTAGAACATAAAATAAAGTTTGAAATAGTTTTTCAAAATGGCGGCCGTGGCGGCCATATTGGATTTCTTATTGACCTGAAAAATAACAACACTTTGTCAGGACCATGAGTTGATCATTCCTACCAACTTTCAGTTCAATCGCCCATGCAGAACTTTACTTAAAGTTTGAAAAAGGTATTTTCAAAATGGCGGCCGTGGCGGCCATATTGGATTTCTGATTGACCTGAAAAATAACAACACTTTGTTAGGACCATGAGGCGATCATTCCTAGCAACTTTCAGTTCAATCGCCCATGCGGAACTTTACTTAAAGTTTGGAAAAGGTATTTTCAAAATGGCCGCCGTGGCGGCCATATTGGATTTCTTATTGACCTGAAAAATAACAACCCTTTGTCAGGACCATGATTCGATCATTCCTATCAAAGTTACAGATCAATCAGCCAACCAGAACCTTACTTTAAGATTGAAATAGTTTTTCAAAATGGCGGACATATTGGATTTCTGATCGACGCGAAAAATAACAACACTCTGTCAGGACCATGGGGCGATCCTTCCTACCAACTTTCAGTTCAATGGACCATGCAGAACTTTACTTAAAGTTTGAAAAATGTATTTTCAAAATGGCGGGCGTGGCGGCCATATTGGGTTTCTTATTGACCTTAAAAATAACAACACTTTGTCAGGACCATGGGGCGATCAGTCCTACCAACTTTCAGTTCAATCGGCCCAGCAGAAATTGACTTTAAGTTTGAAATGTAAAATGTTAACGGACGACGGACGACGACTGACGAAAACGGATAGCAATAGGTCACTTGAGCTAAAACTCAGGTGACCTAAAAACAAAACAGAAAAACGTTTCTCAACAAAACATTTTAATCAGCACCTTTTTTCCATGCATTGACATAAAAATATTTTTATTATAAATCAATAAATATAGTTGTGCTAAAATACATTGGTGTCATTCTAACACACTGGAACAGTATATGTAGCACAACTGTTGTACATCGAAGAGTTTAACTTGGTAATCACACCAAAGCCCATTAGGTATAGGAAATCTGATTACCTCGGTATATCAAAGGTAAATATCTAATGTTTAATAAAAAATAGATGATTCACTTCTTTTTCTTTGAAATCATCCTGTAGTTGTATATTACAACATTAAATAATTAGAAAATGTTAGCGAAACAGACTGCCCTTGCCGCAACTGTGATAGAAATTAAACTTGATGCAAATTAAGTCTTACGAAAGAAATGCAGCTAAGAGCAAAGAGTAATTTAAAGACAATGAAACAGGAAATACTGGTCACAGTGACCTACATTTTATATATTGCTGATTCCAAGGCAGTCAATGTTACCGTTACGCGAACAACAGATTCTTTTGATGTACATCAAAGGATCAAACTAGTCTTCTCGTCTCATCCACAAGGCGGTGCACACTGATCCTTTGATATTGCTGACATATTCCAGGGATGTAGAGAGTGAAAGTGAGCGTAACCCCTGGAGTATCAAGGATGGTAATACAGATCTTTGCTGTCAAAGTAAATTCATCCTCATGACGATGAGAAGAAAAGGCAACAAGAACACTACAGCAAACTTTTGCCGGTAAACATAAAACAAATGGAAAGCCTTCCTTGATCCAACTGTCTATTAACTATGAATCAATTGAACACATATGGGTGTAGTGGAACTGAACTGGGTCAATCATCAGCGACCAGGGAGCCTGAACTGGGTCAATCGTCAGCGACCAGGGAGCCTGAACTGGGTCAATCGTCAGCGACCAGGGAGCCTGAACTGGGTCAATCGTCGGCGACCAGGGAGCCTGAACTGGGTCAATCGTCAGTGACCAGGGAGCCTGAACTGGGTCAATCATCAGCAACCAGGGAGCCTGAACTGGGTCAATCGTCAGCGACCAGGGAGCCTGAACTGGGTCAATCGTCGGCGACCAGGGAGCTCAATTCGTAGAGCTTCCATCTAGAGTTTGGAAGGTCCCGGGGTGGAACTCCCGTCTGGCAGTGATTTTCTGTTTCTCCTGTTGCATATATAGGTATATAGACTTACGTAGTGGCTCTTAATTGTTTTCAGTGTTAAAAATAAGGAACTACTGAAATGTATGCGAGTGTCCAATTTTTGTATCATTTTTATACAAAATTAGCATATCTTTATTTCATCCCGGTCCGAGAACATTTAGCATACACTCCACCTACCATCCAAATTTCTCACATAGGCCCATACACGATTTCTCACATAGGCCCATACACAAATTCTCACATAGGCCCATACACACGAATTCTCACATTGGCCCATACACGAATTCTCACATAGGCCCATACACGAATTCTCACCTTTACCACCTGTAATTGAAGTTATAAATCATGGTAATCAGTTGAACACACTTGGATATTTCTACGATAATTGAAGTTGCTTAATCAACACATTTGGATATTACTACATAATATATCACAGAAGCATATATTTATCAAATCACAGCTATAACTGTCACTGATTACAAGTTCTCTTTCTCCAATGCTTTAAACAATCTACAACTATCACGCAAGGTGAGATCTTGCATAATATCAACTGAACTTTGGTCGTTTGTTCTGTGGCTCGTCAAAATCATCCTCTTCCCAATCGACCTCTCCTAGCATAAGGTCAAGGTCATCGTTAGGAATTTCCTCTTCCTGTTTCACAACACTTGCAGTTCTACTTTCACTTTCTGATTTAGCTGCCTCAGTTGAGCTATCTCCCTCTGATGACTGGAAATAACTTAACAGGGATGACTGTTCTGTGAATAAATAACAAGATTGTTTTCAGAAATAACAAGACATTTTTCAGAAATAACGAGATCTATTTAAGAATTATAATTTATCATTTGTTAAATACATGAAAAAGAACTTTAAGGATACATTTTTTTCAGGGGACACTGAAATGATAAATTTGCTGTACATAATGTATAAACTATTAAGAAAATTGATAACAATTCCATTCATTTCATAAGGTTGTATTAATGTTATATTTTAGGGTGGATTTTTGTTGGTGAAGGGTGGGGGAGGAGGGGCAATGAAATGACAACTTTAATAAACATACATGATTGTCATACTTATCCTCCACTAAGCCTAGGGCCTTGGCAAACATAAACTCTGACTTAAAGTAGCCCAGGCTTGTCTTTTTACAGGACAATGAAATAACATCTGTTTGCAATTTTACTGATTCACAATAGATATTGGATGGGCTTGTTGCTGGATTAATAATACAGTACACACACTAACAAGCTAATTTGTTTGCAGAGATTCCTGCGAGTGATATGATTTGATATTGTATTTTCAAGTCTTACTTTTATTAGGTATCTCGGGTTCCTCCTTGCTCTTTGTGCCAGAGACAGATCCCCCCTCCTTTGGCCCCTGATTCACACATTCCTCCTCTTGTTGCCCCGTAAATAATTCACCACCTGTTTCCACATCTGCCTCTTCCATGAAAGACTCCTCAAAGAAATCTGTAAGATCTTTCTGTTTGCTATCCTGCAATTTAATATCAACGACAGAATAGTTATTTCGGGCAAATTCTTTCTGACAGATGGTTTTTGTTTCTTTGTCATAACAAGCTATCATAGTGTTATTTTTTTACAGACATCGATATAAAATTAAAAAAATCCAAGAAATATAGTTTACCATATTTCGAGCATATATCCCGATGGCTATACAAGGAAATGATAAAGCTGGCTATCTGTTTTTTTCTTTAACAGACATGTGATAGAAGTGCAGGTGATATGTTTATATCTTCCCTTGTCTGTACACATGCACCAGCTGTACGAACATAAATTAACATCACACACATTATAAGTTACTTATGCTGGGCATGGTGCTGGCTCCACAGGTATACCTGGGTATTTATTACTCCCCAGCTAACCCCTAGTACAGGTACCATGCAGGAAATTAGTACCCTTTATAAGAAGCGAAGTTTTGGATGGATCAGTGGTTAATCTGAGCCTTACCCTGGCATGGGTCGTGTCTGCCTCGGAGAAGTTGTCCTTACTAAGGCCTGCTCTGTTCAGGACATCAAGCTTCTTCTGTACCAGAGGCCTATAAACAAATAATGTTTAATTCATCTAGGCAAAATAGCTGACTAACTTATTTAAAATAAATTTGGGAATAAAATTTAGATAAATGCTAAAATTTAAATTAAAAATTCATTATTTTGATAACCGTAATATCCCGGATTTTCTTTTAATAATTGCTGACTTCTGAATGTTAATTCAATTTTCTTTTCATCAGAGAACATTAAAATTCAAATCTTGCTGTATGCTGATTAAAAGACATTGACTTACAGAAAATGTGACTGAGATTCTTACTGTTGATTTCTATGTGTTTACTATTAGGAGATATTAAAGTCAAATAATTTTGACAAATAGAATATCAGTTTTGTTATTTTCTAGACACATATCATACTATTTAGTGCATATTCCTATTCATAAGGTATTATAATATAGTCACAATTCATTAATATACCAGGGAATTCCCTTTAATGATACATGAATTACCATATATTCATTAAATCTCCCCATTCATTAATGCAAACATAAAATATTTATGTAATTAATGGGTTCACTATTGAATTATTTTAACGGGAATTTCATGAGGCATGTTGATAGTAGTTAATTTGTTTAACTACTAGACCTTCGATCTAAGTTAGCTGACCTTACCATATATGGTCATCAGCAGTGCCCTGGGAGACAAGGTACTGAATAGTGACCATATCCTGCTGACCAATGCGATGGACTCTGTCCTCTGCCTGCACCAGTATCTGGAACCATCAAATGAATGGATTTATTGTTTAAAGTCCAGCAACAAGAAGGGTCATATGGGGTCAAACAAGAGCAAGTACATGTTTGTTGTAAAACCTGATTTAAGAGACCAGGAAGTCAAACAAGTGGTCTACAGATGCAGGTACCGATAGTCTCCTACTATAGGTTCATTTAATAATGGAATCGTTATAATAATAATAGTTTGAGGTCCTTATATACATCTACTGCTTTATCACAGCCTAGTTCGTAGGTCGTCTCAAAGCAGTTAACAAATTATTAGCCATGGTTATAGGGCCCGTTGCAGCAAGACAATATCTTTCTCAACTCCCTGGGGAGCATACAGCCGGTGCTGCCATTTACATGTAGGTGCTCACAGCTAGCATTCAACTATTCCAGCACTGCCCAACCACGTACTCATTTACAGCTGAGTAGACTGGAACAAGCAGAATAAAGTATCTTGTTCAAAGATACAACAGTTCCATGACGTGACTCGAACCCGCAACCATTCGGTCACGAGCCCAGCGTCCTACCACAAGACTACCGTGCTCCTATAACGGGGAACATTAAAAGTCATCTATTCACACACTTTTAGTGGAGGTCTTCACATGTCAGAGAAAGTTTGGCTGTAACACCAAACATATTTAAATTCTAGCCTCGGCCAGTGCAAACATAGAAACTACAGATGAAAGAAACTAGATGCATGGAAACAAGGTATCATGTCGATCTTAGGATATTTTACAATATTCATTTTGTCTGTAATTTATCAACCATGTGTAACAGCAATTCAATGTTTACAATAGATGGATAAAGTGTAATACTATTGTCTTATTGATTTGACAGAAATAGCCTAGTCAGATATTGAGAATGCCCTTAAAACAATAAATTGTTGGATGTATACTCATAAACAGAGCAAAAATATAAGCTTCAGATATGTCTGTTTGAAAGGTTGAAGATGGTTCCATGAAAATGTAGGATGAAATTTACCCCTGGGTTCCAAAATAGTTCTCCAAACACAACAAGGTTAGCAGACGACAGATTCAGGCCTGCATTGGCTGCCATAATGGAGAGAATTGCCACACGATAGTCCTCATTCTCCTGGAACTTCTTACAAAAAGAGTTCCTCTGCTCCGCACTTGTTTTGCCATCGATACGAATGTAGTGTTGCTTCAGCTAAATACAATATACATTGCATTAGCATTACTGTATAACATTAAGTGTTCGTTGTGTATAAACATTCCTGGTTTGCATGGTTGCTATTGAACCACAAAAATAAATATAACAAATCTGAATGATAAACGTGTCTATTGTTTGTTACTACAGGATATCCACGAAAGTTTGCATCATGAAACAATCTTAATGGCTACAAACCATGAAGGAAAGTACCCAGGAATATTTCGTGTTATACAGTACTACAAAATTGAAATGACTTTTCTTTTTCACACACCTGTCATCATAAAACACTTTATAGAATATTTCTACAATGCCTACATTGCAGCTAGAATAGGCCACTTGAAGATTTCAGCTTTAAAGTACATAGATACACAATTCATATAATACAATTCATGCAATGTGAGAATTTCTACAGAAGCTTATCTTGGGCTAACTACTGGACCTATGCCACCTGTCTAACACCTCAACATGTGTATGATTCTGTGTGTGCTGGAGGCATATTTGTGTTGTTTTGCAGCGAGGCCATGCTTCTAACAGCCTTTCTTTCCATATTGCCATCTCGTTTGAATATTACAGAACAGACACACTAGCATCCACCCCAGACCCTTTTAACCCTGGTTATTAAAGTTCTGTTGACAGGACAATAACTTTTTGTTTTTACTTATAGCAAAAATAGTTTTCAAGCAATAACTGCTGAGTGTACCTTGGGTTTGACCACATCCTCAACAGCATCCAGTACTTCTTGATGATGAGCAAATATCAGGAATTTCTTGTCTGCTTCAATCAGATCCACTACATAGTCCCTGAAGGTCAAGGTGATATCGTTATAATATTTTTATAATATTTTTATAATAATGTCTTATTTAACTTCAGTTAATATTTTCATATGAGATCAAACTTTTGGGCATGGGAATTTCGTACACCCACACAACAACAGAAGATTTATTGATTTAAAATGGTCTCAATGTTTATAACTCACTTTGCTGGGGTGTCATGACTGTGACAGCAGTATTTCCAACATATTTTCTATTTTAGCTAAAATTAGGTTACTAGGCACATATATCATGATCATAGCTAAACTGTAGTAGAAATTTTAATGTTAAGAAATATATACTGCTCCAACAACCTGTTTACCTAATGGCAGGAATCTTGGCAGCTCCAGTATGGTGGAAGTATTCCAATAGGACCCCTCGCCTCTCCAGGCCCTGGAAAACATAAGGCAGTTTGGTTATACAATATTTTTTCTGGAAATTATAAATCAAAGTAGTTTTCCTGACTTTGGGATAATCAATTCAGGAAAATTTGACAGCAACACGGTATAACATTTTTTCAGCAAATCAAATGAAGTTTGATGATCTGTTTCTCAAAATAATTTATAAAGTTGGATGATCTGTTTCTCAAAATAGTTCATAAAGTTTGATGATCTGTTTCTCAAAATAATTGGCTCATAAAGTTTGATGAACTGTGTCTAAATTAATTTTAATCTGGTTCTTGAAATACTTGTATTCAATATATTTTCAAAGAACTTCACGCAGGCATGGTAACAAGCCAATAATATGACAAGAACCTAAAATCTACACATTTCAGATGACCAATGTCTGACATTGACCCAAAGAGATTATTTTTAACTTCAGGCTCCAGGGTTTAAACATGCATGTTATTTGGCTTTGAGGCCTTGTAAATGTTTATCCTGACCTTGACCTCCAGGTTTCAATTGATATCTGACCTTGACCTCAAAATTTACACAAAGCTGACATCCACTGATTTACTGATGAGCCTCATAATTTACGCTGATGTTTGACCTTTAACCCTAGAGTATACAAATATATGTAACCTTGACCCCAAAGATTGCACATATGTCTCACCTTGAGTCCTTTGACGTTCATGGCCTTACAGTCGGTCTTCATATCTTTGTTGATCTTAATTGAACTGGGGTCAAGGACAACCATCTGCCTCGTCTTGGCTGGAAGCTGGGTCAAAACCTCCTTCTTTAATCGCCTGTTTATTACAACAAAGTTCATATTCTTCAAACGGTTCATAGCTCGTTGGCATTGGCCTAGTGTATGAATATGTGTATGAATACTTTTTTGTGTGCTGATTCAGCAGACATAAAATGGTATGTTTATCCGGCAATAAGCCCATGTCTGGTAATCAGCCCACCCCAAAACTATTGCAATTTGTCAAAAATACAACAAATGCTGTTTCATTGCTCTGTTATCAGCCTAACCCCATTTTTAGCGTGGGAGGTTATGTGTTTGCCCCCTAAGCTAATTGAAGGATATAAATGGTATTAAGTGGAAATTTGAACTTGCACAATTTATGAAATTTCAAACTTACATGTCCTAAATTAGAATTGGGCATAGTTATAACTTTCTGTTTTTATTACTAAAAGTATCTGTTCAATTTTGGTGTGTCAATGTTATATGTATCATCAATGCCAATGACATCAAATATAAAATCAAACGAAACATTTTTTTCACAATATACAAACCGTATCATAATTTTTTCTTCCAGAATTATCTGAAGTTCATTCATGTTTGAAGATCCTGAGAAATCCCACCCAAATGGCATCTAAAATGTAATGTTTCGGTCTAAAATAAGATCACATTTAATAAACAACCATGAAAAGGATCAAACTAAATATTCAAAACAATAAAAATAGAACCTATCAAATACATCTATATCAGACAAAGAGAGAATGTGTCCATTAGAAACGTCCTGGTCAGCTATAATGCTGGAGACAAAGAGAGACTGCGTCCATTAGAAACGTCTTGGTCAGCTATAATGCTGGAGACAAAGAGAGAATGTGTACATTAGAAACGTCCTGGTCAGCTATAATGCTGGAGACAAAGAGAGACTGTGTCTATTAGAAACGTCTTGGTCAGCTATTATGCTGGAGACAAAGAGAGACTGTGTCCATTAGAAACGTCTTGGTCAGCTATAATGCTGGAGACAAAGAGAGAATGTGTCCATTAGAAACGTCCTGGTCAGCTATAATGCTGGAGACAAAGACTGAAAGAGAGACTGTGTCCATTAGAAACGTCTTGGTCAGCTATAATGCTGGACCCAAAGAGAGACTGTGTCCATTAGAAACGTCCTGGTCAGCTATAATGCTGGAGACAAAGAGAGACTGTGTCCATTAGAAACGTACTGGTCAGCTATAATGCTGGAGACTTTCACAGCATTGGTTCGACTGTCTGTTTCAGAGGCTACTTGTGGTGGATCTTTATGCAATAGGATCTTAAAATAATTGTATAGATAATTTTATATCTCGACACCTCTTTGTGAAATTTAGTGTTATTCAATTGTACATGTGTAACAGTGGTAATGTCAATGCCTCTGATAGCCAAGTCGAGTGAAGGCAGCTAGTATCTAAACAGGATGGCATGTGATATAAAACAATTTATAGAAAACAAACGTGGTGTCAAATGGTTTATTATATATGTACATAGAAATATAATGTGTATGATATAGCCAGAATAATAACAACCACACAAAAATAGAACTGTCACTGGATATAATCACACTATGTTGTTTACTTATTGTGTATACATGTATTCACCTTCACATCTACAGCACAATACACACAATACACACGATACACACAATACACACAATACATACAATACACAATATACAATACACACAATACATACAATACTCACAATACACAATACACAATACACACGATACACACAATACACACACACAATACATACAATACACACATAATACACACGATACACACAATACACACAATACATACAATACACAAGATACAATACACACGATACACACAATACATACAATACACACACAATACACACAATACACACAATACACACAATACACACAAACAATACACACACACAATACACACAATACACACACACAAAACACACACACAATACACACAATACACACAATACACACAACACACACACAATACACACACACAATACAACATACAATACTCACAATACACAATACACAATACACACGATCCACACAATACACACAATACATACAATACACAACACACAATACACACGATACACACAATACATACAATACACACACAATACACACAATACACACAATACACACATAATACACACGATACACACAATACATACAATACACACAATACACACACAATACACACAATACACACAATACAATACACACGATACACACAATACACACCCACAATACATACAATACACACATAATACACACGATACACACAATACACACAATACATGCAATACACAATATACAATACACACGATACACACACACAATACATACAATACACACAACACACACAATACACACAATACACACGATACACACAAAACACACACACAATACATACAATACACAATACACATAATATACATAATACACACACACAATACACACAATACACACAACACACACAATACACACAATACACACAACACACACAATACACACAATACACACGATACACACAAAACACACAATACATACAATACACAATACACACAAAATACACACAATACACACGATACACACAATACCCACAATACATACAATCCACAATATACAATACACACGATACACACAATACACACCCACAATACATACAATACACAATACACACATAATACACACGATACACACAATACACACAATACATACGATACACAATATACAATACACACAATACATACAATACCCACAATACACAATACGCAATACACACGATACACACAATACACACAATCCATACAATACACAATACACAATACACATAATACACACAATACACACACATAATACACACAATACACACACATAATACACACAATACACACACAAAATACACACAATACACACACACAATACACACAACACACACACAATACACACACACAATACACACACACAATACACACAATACACACACACAACACACACACACAATACACACAAACAATACACACAATACACACAATACATACAATACACACAATACATACAATACACAATACACATAAAATACACAATACACACACACAATACACACAATACACACACACAATACACACAATACACATAATACACATAATACACACAATACACACAATACACACAACACACACACAATACACACAACACACACACAATACACACAACACACACACAATACACACACACAATACACACAATACACACAACACACACAATACACACAATACACACGATACACACAATACACACAATACATACAATACACAATATACAATACACACGATACACACAATACACACACACAATACATACAATACACAATACACACATAATACACACGATACACACAATACATACAATACATACAATACACACACAATACACACAATACACATAATACACACAATACACACACATAATACACACAATACACACACACAATACACACAATACACACAACACACACACAATACACACAACACACACACAATACACACACACAATACACACAATACACACAACACACACAATACACACAATACACACAATACACACAATACACACAATACACACAATACACAATATACAATACACACGATACACACAATACACACACACAATACATACAATACACAATACACACATAATACACACGATACACACAATACATACAATACATACAATACACACACAATACACACAATACACATAATACACACAATACACACACATAATACACACAATACACACACACAATACACACAATACACACACACAATACACACAATACACACAACACACACAATACACACAATACACACAATACACACAATACACACAATACACAATATACAATACACACGATACACACAATACACACACACAATACATACAATACACAATACACACATAATACACACGATACACACAATACATACAATACATACAATACACACACAATACACACAATACACATAATACACACAATACACACACATAATACACACAATACACACACACAATACACACAATACACACACACAATACACACAACACACACACACACACACACACAATACACACAACACACACACACAATACACACAACACACACACAATACACACAACACACACACAATACACACACACAATACACACAATACACACAACACACACAATACACACAATACACACAATACACACAATACACACAATACACAATATACAATACACACGATACACACAATACACACACACAATACATACAATACACAATACACACATAATACACACGATACACACAATACATACAATACATACAATACACACACAATACACACAATACACATAATACACACAATACACACACATAATACACACAATACACACACACAATACACACAATACACACACACAATACACACAATACACACAACACACACAATACACACAATACACACAATACACACAATACAAACAATACACAATATACAATACACACGATACACACAATACACACACACAATACATACAATACACAATACACACATAATACACACGATACACACAATACATACAATACATACAATACACACACAATACACACAATACACATAATACACACAATACACACACATAATACACACAATACACACACACAATACACACAATACACACACACAATACACACAACACACACACACACACACACACAATACACACAACACACACACACAATACACACAACACACACACAATACACACAACACACACACAATACACACACACAATACACACAATACACACAACACACACAATACACACAATACACACAATACACACAATACACACAATACACAATATACAATACACACGATACACACAATACACACACACAATACATACAATACACAATACACACATAATACACACGATACACACAATACATACAATACATACAATACACACACAATACACACAATACACATAATACACACAATACACACACATAATACACACAATACACACACACAATACACACAATACACACACACAATACACACAAAACACACACAATACACACAACACACACACAATACACACACACAATACACACAATACACACAACACACACAATACACACAATACACACAATACACACAATACACACAATACACAATATACAATACACACGATACACACAATACACACACACAATACATACAATACACAATACACACATAATACACACGATACACACAATACATACAATACATACAATACACACACAATACACACAATACACATAATACACACAATACACACACATAATACACACAATACACACACACAATACACACAATACACACACACAATACACACAACACACACACACACACACACAAAATACACACAACACACACACACAATACACACAACACACACACAATACACACAACACACACACAATACACACACACAATACACACAATACACACAACACACACAATACACACAATACACACAATACACACAATACAATACACACGATACACACAATACACACACACAATACATACAATACACAATACACACATAATACACACGATACACACAATACATACAATACATACAATACACACACAATACACACAATACACATAATACACACAATACACACACATAATACACACAATACACACACACAATACACACAATACACACACACACACACACACAATACACACAACACACACACACAATACACACAACACACACACAATACACACAACACACACACAATACACACACACAATACACACAATACACACAACACACACAATACACACAATACACACAATACACACAATACAAACAATACACAATATACAATACACACGATACACACAATACACACACACAATACATACAATACACAATACACACATAATACACACGATACACACAATACATACAATACATACAATACACACACAATACACACAATACACATAATACACACAATACACACACATAATACACACAATACACACACACAATACACACAATACACACACACAATACACACAATACACACAACACACACAATACACACAATACACACAATACACACAATACAAACAATACACAATATACAATACACACGATACACACAATACACACACACAATACATACAATACACAATACACACATAATACACACGATACACACAATACATACAATACATACAATACACACACAATACACACAATACACATAATACACACAATACACACACATAATACACACAATACACACACACAATACACACAATACACACACACAATACACACAAAACACACAACACACACAATACACACAATACACACAATACACAATATACAATACACACGATACACACAATACACACACACAATACATACAATACACAATACACACATAATACACACGATACACACAATACATACAATACATACAATACACACACAATACACACAATACACATAATACACACAATACACACACATAATACACACAATACACACACACAATACACACAATACACACACACAATACACACAATACACACACCACACACAATACACACAATACACACAATACACAATATACAATACACACGATACACACAATACACACACACAATACATACAATACACAATACACACATAATACACACGATACACACAATACATACAATACATACAATACACACACAATACACACAATACACATAATACACACAATACACACACATAATACACACAATACACACACACAATACACACAATACACACACACAATACACACAACACACACACACACACACACACAATACACACAACACACACACACAATACACACAACACACACACAATACACACAACACACACACAATACACACACACAATACACACAATACACACAACACACACAATACACACAATACACACAATACACACAATACAATACACACGATACACACAATACACACACACAATACATACAATACACAATACACACATAATACACACGATACACACAATACATACAATACATACAATACACACACAATACACACAATACACATAATACACACAATACACACACATAATACACACAATACACACACACAATACACACAATACACACACACAATACACACAACACACACACACACACACACACAATACACACAACACACACACACAATACACACAACACACACACAATACACACAACACACACACAATACACACACACAATACACACAATACACACAACACACACAATACACACAATACACACAATACACACAATACACACAATACATACAATACACAATATACAATACACACGATACACACAATACACACACACAATACATACAATACACAATACACACATAATACACACGATACACACAATACATACAATACATACAATACACACACAATACACACAATACACATAATACACACAATACACACACATAATACACACAATACACACACACAATACACACAATACACACAACACACACAATACACACAATACACACAATACACACAATACAATACACACGATACACACAATACACACACACAATACATACAATACACAATACACACATAATACACACGATACACACAATACATACAATACATACAATACACACACAATACACACAATACACATAATACACACAATACACACACATAATACACACAATACACACACACAATACACACAATACACACACAACACACAATACACACAATACACACAATACACAATATACAATACACACGATACACACAATACACACACACAATACATACAATACACAATACACACATAATACACACGATACACACAATACATACAATACATACAATACACACACAATACACACAATACACATAATACACACAATACACACACATAATACACACAATACACACACACAATACACACAATACACACAACACACACAATACACACAATACACACACACAATACACACAATACACACACACACACACAACACACACAATACACATAATACACACAATACACACAATACACATAATACACATAATACACATAATACACACAATACACACAATACACACAACACACACACAATGCACACAACACACACACAATACACACAACACACACACAATACACACAACACACACACAATACACACACACAATACACACAATACACACAACACACACAATACACACAATACACACAATACACACAATGCCAACCTTTCCTTACCATAATTATGCTCTAGATCTTTACCTTCTTTCCATCACAATATCTCACACCGAAATCATGGAACTTGATCAGGAAGGGACAGATGGCCTGGACCGACGTATACAGCTCTGACGGTCTGGAGAGTGCAGGGGTACCACTCAGCAATATCACACGATGAGAGTTCTACATCAGTAAAGTACAGTGAAACATTCAAAGAAGTTCAACTTAGACCACTATACAGAGAAACCCTACTTTACTGACATCTGATTTGAAGGACAGTGAAACCTGACTATATCAACACCTGACTTGAAGGACATTCTGTTATATCTGGCATGACCTTTTGGTCCCAAAATTCTGATTTTCCAGTCTTCAAACTCCGACATCCTCAACAAACATTCACATCTAACTAAATTATTCAATTCATTTTTATTTCAGTAGAAACAGGTCCCTCCAAACTTGAATGATCTCCTCACACAATCTTTTGATACAATATATACAAAGAAAGTGTTTGATAGCCAAAGTTCAAATATTCACAGTTCAAATAAATACCACTCCATAACAGAAAGGTGCAAATTACCAGGTAAATTGCAAATTACCAGATGAAGTAATTGATAGTAGTTTGACCAAAAAACTATTTATTGCTGTCAAATTTAAAAAATAATCATGAACAACAGAAATACATTTTGTACTTTTATGCATAAGAATTATTCCCAAGATGGATTGAAAATGCTGGTATGCTATAGCAATGACCTATGCTCATTTGAAGCAAAAAATATTGAAAATTCAAGCTGTGATCACCCCAATCTTAGGTACTGGCATTTACAGACACCAAATATGCAATATATTGAAACCTGAGCATTTTTGAAACACAGTTTACATCTTCAATATAATTTTCATGTGATAAATAGACGTTATTTGTGTGCACCATCGCTTTAGTGTGTTACCTGTAGTAGCGGTAATGCTGCTTTGCATCTTGCTGTCTTGAAATTTTTTAGAAGATGGCATTCATCCTGAAATAAATATACATATATTCAAATTTGTACTGATATACAACCTTCCGACATTAAGAAACATGTACATAATGTTTTTAAACTATCATTTGAACTTGGTTAGTTATACCGGAAAATTCTGCTATTCTAAAGCAAAGTTATCTCTGGGAAACAGCAGTTGAAACAAAATCCTTTATTTACAACTAAAACAAAATGCATATAACACTGACAACGATAAACTACTGTATGAGAAAACAACATTTTTACAATGTATGAAAAACATGTTAAGTTTTTGTAAAAGAAAATGATGTTAAGTCAACTTATTTTTTTACTAGATGTAGTTTTGAATAGAGAATTAAAATTCAGTTCAATAAAGGTGAGAATGACTAAGTTTTCTCTGGTCCCAACACTAGACATTTGACAGGTAGATGTTTTAGCACCTGACATCTATCTGTCAAAATTTCAAAAGTCTGGAGTTTGGACCATAAAAACCATGCCCAGGGCTAAAATTAATCCTAACAGATGGCCAATAGTGGGAGCTTCTTTCTATGCCATCTTTTAAGGGGCATGGAAGAGACCAAAACTGCTCTGCTATCCTCATAGCAAACAAACCTGAAGACCTCTGATCTTTTCGTTTCTCTTTCAATAACCTAATATTTTCAGCAGTGATGTTGAGCCTGTTGCCAGTATAGAGTGGAGTGTCATGGTACTGTGTCAGTATAGAGTGGAGTATCATGGTACTGTGTCAGTATAGAGTCGAGTGTCATGGTACTGTGTCACTATAGAGTGGAGTGTCATGGTACTGTGTCAGTACAGAGTGGAGTGTCCAGGTACTGTGTCAGTATAGAGTGGAGTATCATGGTACTGTGTCAGTATAGAGTGGAGAGTCATGGTACTGTGTCAATATAGAGTGGAGTGTCATGGTACTGTGTCAGTATAGAGTGGAGTGTCGTGGTACTGTGTCAGTATAGAGTGTAGTGTCATGGTACTGTGTCAGTATAGAGTGGGGTGTCATGGTACTGTGTCAGTACAGAGTGGAGTGTCATGGTACTGTGTCAGTATAGGGGGGAGTGTCGTGGTACTGTGTCAGTATAGAGTGTAGTGTCATGGTACTGTGTCAGTATAGAGTTGAGTGTCATGGTACTGTGTCAGTATAGAGAAGAGTGTCATGGTACTGTGTCAGTATAGAGTAGAGAGACATGGTACTGTGTCAGTATAGAGTGGAGTGTCATGGTACTGTGTCCAGGCTATGAAGTCTCAGTGAGATGACACTTTCAAGTTGACGCCATAGTGGCCCTATCATCTATATGATATGACTGTATTCACATGATCTTAGCTGTTGCGAAGAAAGACATAAACCTTACTTATTTTACAACATTTATGAAACAAGGTATTTCAACTTATAATGATCACTCTTGTTAGCCCGGATGTTAGTGCCAAGGGGTATTAATGAGGGAGAAAACCCTCCAGGTCAGGAAGGTGACCCCGTACCTTTTCACATCCGATTGGGGAATCGAACCTAGGCCGCCTTAGTGAAAGGTAAGTGCGCTATCTAATGTGCTACCCGACCACCATGCAAAAATACAAAACCCTAAACACACAAAGGTACAAACCATAATGACTACTTGGAAATGCTGCTTTTTCAGGTATTCCACCTTCTTCGCCATCAGGTCATAGCTGTATATGTTGACCCGGTAAGTCGTCTTAACATCTTTTCCTGCGATGGGGACGAAGATCTCCTGGGGATCAACACTGGGCAGCCAGCGTTGGACTTGCTGTGCCCAGGCAAATCTGACAGAAGATGGGGCCACAATGAGCAGAGGCCACTCATCTCTGTAGTAACTCGACAGACAGATAGCCTGAATTGTTTTACCTAGACCCATGTCATCAGCTATCAGCAGACGACCATTCATATAAATCCCAAACCTGAAACATAAGTATCCAAACAGCTATATGATTGTTGAAATTTGACATTCAGGGAGAAAAAAAGATAAAGCAACTGATTTTTCTATTTGAAAGAAAATACAATGAGCTAGAATAAGTAAAATAATATCCTGTTTCATAATTCAGAGATGTCATTGCATATATGATATTGGAGAAAAAGGAGGATATCATTGTGAAAAGGGAGGAAACACATACTAATCCCCTTAAAAAACTCTGAATATTTTAACGTTTCAGAATAAATCAACAACTTTTAAATTCTTGGAAAAATTGAGAAAAAACGATAATACTTTGAAAAGAGAAATAACCACATCCCTTATTATTACTGAAATATTCTCTGATAAACATGAAAGTTTAGGTATGCAATGTTTCATTTTATTTTGTTTACATAGTTTCACTAAAACTTTGCACTGTTAAACAAATGCATTAATAAGAAGTTCACAAGAAACATATATTTAAAGTCCACCACATAAGAGGTCAGTTTTAGTAGCTATATATGGAGTCATAAAATCAATGTTAATTTGAATACCAATGTCAACACAAAGCCAGTTAAGACCTGATGCACAGTACATACTCGACTCCTGTTCGTTGGAATGGCATTAAGGCATCCACTAGTCCCTTGTCAATCTTTGAGAGGTCGGCTGACGGAATAGTCTTGGTGGAACTCTTCCCCTTTATCTGAGCAGCAAACACTTGCAGAATGTGTTTGGGGAAGGGCTCGATCTCAACGGATGGCCGCAGGTCTCTGATGGCAGCCACTGTCATCAATAGAAACAGAACAGTAAGAGTAACTAAAATAACTATATAAAGACCTGACAGATTGAACGATAATAACTAATTTTATGAAGTGGCCAACAGGGCCACCCGATCTTTGTTTTTGCAAATGGTCTTTTTGGTTCTTTTTAATTTCAGTGGTCCTTATAAAAGTTGAAGAAAAAATGTATGTACAATTACAAGAGTCCATCTCCTTTTCTTTTTTCTTCTTTATTTCTAAATAAGTCATTACAACTTGTATTAATCGGTCTTGTTGGTATGAAAGTTATCGCATGGGATGGGGGAGGGATCTTAATGTGGAAGGAAACAAGGGTCCCGGGGAAAACCAATGTGGTCGGGCAGGTGACCCCATACCTTTTCACATTGGATTGGGGAATCGAACCCCAACTGCCTTGGTGAAAGGCGAGTGCTACTCCACCACCCTAGTCCATGTCCATAGTTATACTCGACCACCCTAGTCCATATCCATAGTTATACTAGACCACCCTAGTCCATGTCCATGGTTATACTAGACCACCCTAGTCCATGTCCATGGTTATACTCTTCCCCAATTTTCATAAAACGTCAATACTTACTGAAGTTGTTGTACTCTTTAAGTGCAAAGGACCATTTCTTAGTAACCGCATCTGTAAATGTATAGAAACTTAACCGTTTCAGTTATACATTAATGTCTTAAACAAACATTGATATCATAAAGAAATTTCAAATCTTGTTCATGCAAGTCCTTGCCTGATTGGCTCATAGGAACACAAGTCATCCACAAGCTGATGCTGATGAACAAAATGTGCAAGGCTTATAAAGAACTTAAACTTGAAAAAAGGCAGTGTTATTTTGTACTTTGTCGGAACAAGAAAGGATATGATGTAAAATTTGGTCATTTAAATAAAATTTTTCTTTGATTTTACTTGGAATTAATGAAATTAAAAATTACAAGGATTAAAGTTGAAATTTCCCGTACTGATGCTGTAAGAACAGGAAATATGACCGGCTTTCCCAACAAATCGGCTGTTTATGTACATACAATGTATTGAGGAATGGAAATAAATTGTCCTCATTCAAACCAAATGAATACAGGGACATTCCTGCCAAACCGTCATTATATTGCCAAACTCCTTCATATTAAACTGCTGGTAGCAGTATTCACAGATTTTATCATGTATGTTTGCACTTGGCCTTTAGTTATCCATGGAGTTATTTCTTACTGAACAACAATCAAAGGGAAAGGACACTGGTTTTCACAACTCACTAGGCCCTACCTCTCCCCATAAAAAAAACACTTCACAAAGTTTTAATGACTTTGAGTGACTTTCCAATCAAAACTTACCATAAAGTTTTGTATTCATGGACTTGAAGACCTCAACAAGGGGTGCACTAAAACCAACATCCACCTCGAACCTCTCTCTGGATATCAGAACACAGCATCCCTTCACTGGCTTGTTCTTTCCCAGGAAAATGTTTCCAGAATTGTAACTTGTGGCCACTTTGTTAGCCACCTCAGTGGCATTGAACTGGCCTTGCCCTTTAAATTTATTCCCCTCTGATAAAATCGACTTATTCTCATGTGTTCGACCAAAACTTTTACTGAGCCAGTTTGAATTTCCTATTCCAATACCATTCTGATTTTTTGTAGCATTCTGAATTGCTGTGGCTGAAGAGTTTTGATTCAATTTCGTAGGCCAAGTTGGAGTGATCTTTCCCTGTTCAATTAAACTCCGAGTATTACTACCAGGGGGCACCACTGTGCTTGACGGTTTTTGATAAGGTTTTGTAGGCCAACTTTGAGTGGTCTTTCCCTGTTGATTTGAACCTTGAATACTCCCAACAGGGGGCCCCACTATACCACCTGATTTTGTATATTGGCCCGAGGTTTGTGGTTTGTTCCATGAGGTAGAGGCTTGTGGCTGTTTGATAGGGCTTTGATTCTTGGCTCGCTTGGCAAGCGCTTTTCTTTTGTTCTCTTCTATCCTTCTTTTTTGTTCTTCTGTCAGCCCTCCTGATGACATGATGACATATCTTCCTAAAATATTAATTTAATAACCTCAATCTTTCCTTTTTACGAAAACTCTAATGATATACAATGTTTACCTCTGTCAAAACATTTGGTCCAACAAAGTGGTTGAATTCTATGAAATCGGAATTTATAAATTACAAATGAATGTACCCTGTTTAATTTATTTTTTTCATGATCTAAACGACAATGTTTGCCTTTACATGATGAAACCTCTCTTCTCTGAACCCACTATATTTTGAAATCCTGTCTAATCAAATAATTATCTTAGATAATCTAGCTGGCACTGTTTCAAAGGGCCAGTCATCAGTACCATAATGAGTGCAAAGACTGAAAGTTATCACGATAATGAAAATAAGAGCACAACATAGTAATACCATGTAAAGGGTGAAAATAACACAGCTTGGAAATGAATTCTACCAGTTGAGGGCGAGAATTTGACTGGGCAAGAGTTTCCCAGCCATTGCATCTTATACAGCTTAAGTATGCAGCAGTTTTTAATTGCTCATAGGAATTTGAATGCAGTCGCCTTCTAGCTTTGTGCAATAGGGAATTTCCCTTTGGCTTAGTGGTAGAGCATTCAACTAGGAAGTTTGGGATTGTGGGTTAATAATCCCTGTGGAAGCAAACTATGTTCTTCTTCCTGTTACAAATGGTGTCCCTGGCCCTCCCTGTATATGTGGTGACTGGGCGTTAGAACCACTGTAATGATTAACTGTTGTGGTGTTGGAGGGCAAACACATTAAAAAGGTACATAGGATTATGGTCGCCTTCTAGCTTTGCACTAGAAGGACTTTCCCTTTAGCTCAGTGGTATGGCATTTCCACTTAATAAGTGATCACAGGGCCCAGTTGTACAAAAGGTGATTAGCTTAATCAGTGATTAGCACAAATTTTAAAGATTGTGTATCTTTAAAACAAGACCAATGAATTAGTTACAACTTTCCAGATAGCAAATATTTAGTTGAGTGATTTTACATGCAAAATTGTGAGATTTTACCTGGTATATTGACGAAATTATTAAAGGTTGAAAAATGTTGTTATACAGTGATTAAGCTAATCACCTTTTGAACAACTGGGACCAGTCTGGTGTCACAGGTTCGATCCCTGGTGGACGCATCCGAAGTATACTACTCTTACATTAGTCCGCTAAAACTGATCATATTTGTAGGCTCCAAATTCTGATTGGTCGCCTGTTTATGGTCAGATATCAACTTAAAACACAAGGACTGATGAGAATTTTAAAGCCTGCGATTAATTATGGTCAGTTTTAGGTGACTATACTCCCAACTAATTTGAGCAAACCTTTACAATACAGCATCAGCTAAAAACAAAATGACTTGTCAGTCTTTACTCTAGACAGTGTGTTGAAACATTTCTGACTGATGGCCTAAAAGTGGATCACTAATATAAGCAAATCGAACCTTATAACCTTGTTATAACCTTGTTCCCGTTTATAGTTCTGTGTAGTCCTTGTATAAATCAGGACTGTTATTTCATCGACATGACCCTGGCAGGTGGTATTTGTTCAACTTAATCTGTTATACCGCCGAAGCTTCCAGCTTTACTCAAAATCAAAAGTGGGTGTTCCTGCGAAATTAATCTTTTCAAATAGTATGAACTGATACTAATACCCAATGTCTCATATCTAAAAATATTTTTTTCTTCGATAATGTTTAAAGTTTACAACTTACTACATTGTCGTTTTGGTAAAATCTAATACAAACACAGTTAGACGAGTTTTCTTGGCGTTAATCTGTATCAAAAATGTCACCATTAGGGTTATACGTCAAAGTTCCTGTTCAGTTTGCAGTTTTACTTTCGTTTTCGCCGCCATCTTCCGACTTATGGAGAATATAAAAGATTACACGGATTAGCGGAAAATATGTATCCGGAATTTGCAAAATGTCTTCGATTGTCTTTTTATCATCCATTCGTTCATGTGAAATTTCATTCTTAATAAAAATTTGATATGGATTTATGACAAATTTATAATAAAAAACTATTCATATTATCAATTATAATTGGTAATTGCATGATTTTTTTAGATGAAATTTAATTTCATGATTCTATAAATATGATTTTATTGAATTATTTGTATTTAAATCTGGTTTCAGCTGAAAATGATAGATCTTTTTTTAGCAAGTGTCCTTTGTTTGATTTATAATAGCTAGGACTTGTAATATGGTGGAACTCACCTGGGGACATGGATGTCGATCGTTAGTTTGGAGGGTCCCGGGTTTGAACCCCGGTCTTGCCATGCATTTTCTGCTCCTATAATACATTAAGTGCCTGTTACCAACCTGGCTTGTTTCAAGTACTGTACTAGGTGAATGCTTTACAAGCTAGGGGATTATACCCGAACCTGGATTGTAAAAAGTTGTGTCTTCTGGGTAAAGACATAGAAAAAGGAAGGAGGAAAATGTGTAGCGTAACTGGACTGTGTCGATCACCGGTGACCGGGTAGCTCGATTGGTAGAGCGTCCATCAAGAGTTTGGAGGGTCCCGGGTTCAAATCCCAGTCTGGCTGTGCATTTTTCCTATTACAGTACTGTAGTTACGTTTTCATTGTTGTATATGTGATGTTAATGGATTTTTTTTAGTGGAAATCTAGTAAACTGCACTTAAAGAGGGGTCATAAAAAGATTAAAACATTATTCAACTTTTAAACTGACCTTTAACCCTGACTAGTCACACTTGACCTTTGACTTTAACACAACTATATAAGAAAAAGATGGGACCTTGCACATTAAATTGGACTTCTTTGACCTTGAATGAAGTTCAAGGTCATTTAATTTGAACAAAAAGTTTTAAGAATCATCCATCCAAGCTAAACTGCACATCAAATAACGACCCTATGTCTCCCTTGACTTTAGAAGAAATATAAACATTACAGTATTTTAACATGGATTTTTTGAAATAATTTAAATAAACTACTTTAACAAATTTAATGCTATCAAAGCCTTCTATCCCAGCTGTATATTGGTCAAATAGCATGACCTAAGCTTTGACTCAAAAGAACTTAAAAAGAAATCTTTCAAATGCTATAATATATTTGACCCAGTGACTCAAAATAAAAGTCAAGAAACATTGACAGCCATGGTGTGCATCCATCCCAGGTATGTACATGTACTGGGCAAACATCCCAGGTATGTACATGTACTGGGCAAACAGCCCAGGTATGTACATGTACTGGGCAAACATCAAGAAGCTAAAGAAGTAATTTTTTCAACTTATTGGACCCGTGTGATCTTGAATAAAGGAATAATGGAGGCAAGGTAGTCCAGTGGTAGGACGCCGGTCTCGTGAGTTCGCGCCATGGCACAGCAATGTGTTGTATCTTGTTCCAGTCTACTCAGCTGTAAATGAGTACGTGGTTGGGCAGTGCTAGAATTGTTGAATGCTAGCTGTTAGCGCCGAAATGGCAGCTCCGGCTGTATGCTCCCCAGGGAGTAGAGAAATGTACTGGCTGGTTACAAAGGTCCTATAACCACGGATAATAATTTGTGAACCGCTTTGAGATGACCTACGATGTGATAAAGCGGTATATAAGAACCTCCAATTATTATTATTTTATTATTATCAAGTAATTTACTTTACAAACCCTGATAGCCCCCCATACCTGTAACAGTAGCTACTACATATCTATTTCTATGTATATTTCATATAAAAGGTATGTAATTTATATCCCACTACTGTATCACATATTATAGTTAACACATTCACCCCTGAAGTGTCATAATGAAACATTCCAACCTTTGAATTGGAAGAGTTCAAATGTGTCTCCAGGGGTGAATGAGTTAAGTATTTGATGCTATTCTGTTTAATGTATGACAGTGAAAAATGTACAAACATAACAGAAGTCTGCTAACTTTTAAAAATAATTCTCATTTTATTTGGAATATGGAAGCAAGCATTAATACTGTATTGGAAACAAACAAAATGTGCTCTCTAAATAAAATTACCTGTAATCAAAATTTGTAATGCCCATTCCGCACCAATGATATTGATTTCAGTAGACTATAAAAGAAAAGAATAAAACAGCTAAAAGAATATACCACAAAATCTTAGCACTTCTTGTTAACAAATTTATGAATATATTATGTACATAATTACAATCATCACTTATACAAAAAAAATTAAAAGATATGATTAAAATGTGTGTGTTTTTTAATTCAGCAATGCAAGTCATCAAATGAACTGGTAGATACATCAATAGACCTTCTCACGCCTGCTTGATTTCTTCTTTTCTTACTCTACTTATAATGACCAATGAATGCGTATAAGTATGGTCCAAAGCATCCTGGATACTCCAGGGGTTACGCTCACTTACGCTCTTTGTACCCCTGGAATATGTCATAACAAAATCAAAGGCTCAGTGTACGCCCCATTATTGATGATACAAGAAGACTGTTTGATCCTTTGATGTACATCAAAAGAATCTTGTGGTGCGTAATGGTAAAACTGACTGGCTTTGAAGTCATGTGTCGCTTCTATATAATACTCAAAGGACAAATAACAGCCTGGTTTTTTTTACCTGAAACCAACCAAATAGATAACTTTGTACCTTCAATTTTGCTATGACATATTCCAGGGGTGCAGAGAGTGAAAGTGATTGAGGATCGGTCCAAGGAGAAATTATATTTGTGATCATTACAGTGTACCTGGTAAATAATACGTAACTCAATTACAATAATGCAATGTCTGACACAGAGTTACAACAAATGAAAATAAGTTTTTTTTAAAGTCTGAAGAGAGATTCATTTTTTTGTTCTACTGATGTTTAAAATTTTAAACATTTGCAGGATTATGTTCTACATATATATTTTTCAAACTGAAAAACCTACTACAAACTAGTACATAATGTGCATAATTAATATTTCATACTTATATCTTACCAGTAACAACTATACAACAAACAGGAACAGATTTCCAAATTCTTGACACTTGAAGTCTCAAAAAAAAACTGTTAATGGATTAATGAATTTTTCATATTAATTATAATTTTTAAAAACTATTTTGTACTTTTTTGGGAATGATGAATGACAAATTATTTCATTGAACAATCCTATTTAAATTTGTAAATCTCCTCCCCAAGGGAAAATCAAATTTGTAAATCTCCTCCCCAAGAGAAAATCAAAGTTGTAAATCTCCTCCCCAAGGGAAAATCAAATTTGTAAATCTCCTCCCCAAGGGAAAATCAAAGTTGTAAATCTCCTCTCCAAGGGAAAATCAAATTTGTAAATCTCCTCCCCAAGGGAAAATCAAATTTGATTATTGTTTCCTTTTGGGCACACATTTTCCAAACTTTACCCAATTATTTTCCCAGAAAGCATCAATTATACAGTTTTATTTGATGTTTATGGTATGTACAAGATTAAAAACTGGCCCTAGCTCCACCTGAATACAAGTAAAATGTTTGATAAAAACTAAAGACATTTGATGATGAACCTTTAACGATTATTACAAAACTAATTACAAGACCTGATAGAAATATACAGTGGTGTCAAATACTATGAAGTATAACTCATTCATCCCTGAAATTTCATAATGAACTATTTCAACCTTTGAATTGAAAATAACAAACAAAAAACAAATTATGCTGACTATAAAATTTAACAAGAGACCAAGAGGGCCTGTATCGCTCACCTGTTTCTTTTGTTACATGAAACTGACATATAGGTAACTTCTGACCAAAGATAACTAGAACACAAGACATTTTAACATCTCTTAAACGCTTCTTAAGATATTGTTGTTTGAAATTTGAAATTTTAATTTTAAAGCTTTTAACCCAAGTTGACCTTTGACTACGGCTAGCACTTAAAGTTGACATTTGACCTCATTACTGTAATAAAGAAAACAATTTAAAGCTGTTCTTCATAACATACCCAAGTATCATGACTCTAGACCAAATGCTTCTTAGGACATCATTGTTTGTCGTTTTTAACATATTAGACTCATGTGACCTTGAAAGTTGGTCAAGGTCATTTTAATGAGGAAACTTTATAGCACTGCATTCCAGGTACCTACTGGCAAAATATCATGACCCTATGCCTTATGGAACTTGAGAACAAGGTTGTTAAAGTTTTTAACATATTTGACCCATGTGACCTTGAAAGTAGTTCAAGGTCATTTTAATGAGGAAACTTTATAGCACTCCATCCCAGGTACCTACTGGAATAATATTATGACCCTATGCCTTATGGAACTTGAGAAGAAGACTGTTAAAATATTAAACATATTTGACCCCTGTGACCTTGAAAGCAGATTAAGGTCATTTTAATGAGGAAAGGTCATAGCACTCCATCCCAGGTACCTACTGGCAAAATATCATGACCCTGGGCCTTATGGAATTTGAAAAGATTGTTACTTTTTTTAACATCTTTGACCCCTGTGACCTTGGAAGAAGGTCAAGGTAATTTTAATGAGGAAACTTTAAAGCACTCCATCCTAGGTACCCACTGGCATAATGTTATGACCCTATGCCTTATGGAACTTGAGAAGATTGTTAAAGTTTTAAACGTATTTGACCCATGTGACCTTGAAAGCAGGTCAAGGTCATTTTAATGAGGAAACTTTATAGCACTCCATCCCAGGTACCTACTGGCCAAATATCATAACCTAAGGCCCTCAAATTTTTCAGAAGAAGTCTCTCAAAGAAAAAGTTGACGGACAGATGGACGGATGATGGACGACGCAGTACTGCATAAGCCCTTGGACCATGTCATCTAATAAAAACCAAGCACTGACTTCAATAAAAGACTACAATTGTATAATATGAATACATTTGGAACAGATTATCACTGAAAAATTCTGCTTAGGATATACAAGCATACAAAATCACCTGGTTAATATGTATAAACAAATACATAAAATGAAATAAAATTCCACATTGATAAAGACTATTAAATGTGGTTTTAAAAGAGCAAAAATTAAAAACATTTTTTTCTGTATAGATATTGCGAATGTAGACTGTTTTGCCTTTAAGTTCCCTGTTTACAATATTACAACTGTGTTAATAACTGAGAGAATTTTCAAACTTGACAACTATGAAACTTCCTCACAGTTCTTTTACCAACATTATCTCATATATTTATTTTTATTTATTTTACAAGGATCATGAAACTGATTTTATCAATTTATATTAATCGTTCTTGTTGACCCGGATGGAAGCATGCTTGGGGTCTAAATATTGGAAGAAACCAGAGTATCCAAGAGAAACCAACGATGTCAGCAGATGACCCCAACTGCAGAATGGCACCCAGGCCATCTTAGAATAAGACAAGTGCAATATCCACAATGCCACCAGCTGACTTCCCAGCTGACTTCCCTACCACCAGCTGAATTCCCTACCACCAGCTGAATTCCCTACCTACTCAAGCTTTTGGCTAATTTTTGACATTCATGCAATCCTAGGAGACATTATCTTGTGGTTTTTTTAATCTAAAACTGTACATAATTAATATGAAAACTCACCGAGTGCTTTTGACTTGAATTTTACAACTTGTTCACTCATAAATGGGTTTTGCTCCTATCTTTGACGTAGTTTTTAAGACACATTATAAGAAGCTGATTTTTATATTTTGCATGACTTGACCTTTATTGACCTTTACTTTCCATTAATCAATCCAACAACAGACTACCAAGAGGAAGACACTGCTGAACACATTGGATAGCAGTATACTCACTACTGCCCTCAGCACTTCCTGAGGACTGACGTGTGCTAGCTTGTAAAAGACTTTCTAATACACAATTACAAATACACTACATGTACAAAGTTAAAAACAAATTCCTTGTATACTGATAAAGTGTACAAAATTCCAGGAGAGGGTCTTAACAATCATGTGTCCACAGACAGACGGATGAATGGATGAACGGACGGACTAGACATCCTGATTTCAAAGAACAAACCCCTCCCACCCCCAAACTTAAATGTAAAGGGTTGTAAATAGGCTTGAGGTATTACTCCCTTTCACATCAACCACATTCTGTATGTGACATTCTGCAGAAAACTGTTTATAATATTGTCTGCATAAGCATGATTCTTACAAAAAGTAATCATACATCATTTTATATGCTATATTTATCCTGCAATAAGCCCCGGGGACCAACACAACCCCTCCGACTCAATGAGGGGTGTGTGCTGATTGCCGGACAATGAAATGGAATTTGTTGGCATGTTGCTAAACTGTAATAGATATTGGGCGGGCTTATTACCAGACATGGGCTTATTACCAGGCATGGGCTTATTACCAGGCATGGGCTTATTACCAGGCATGGGCTTATTACCAGGCATGGGCTTATTACCAGGCATGGGCTTATCACCAGGCATGGGCTTATTACCAGGCATGGGCTTATCACCAGGCATGGACTTATTACCAGGCATGGGCTTATTACCAGGCATGGGCTTATTACTGGATAAATATAGTAGTGCCATAACTGGCTAGGATAATAAGCCACTCTAAGGTACATACAGCACCTAGATATAGTTATGTGTACTTTACAGACGACATGTGATTATCATATAGACATTTGAAGGTTTCTCTTACAAGACAGACGACATGTGATTATCATATAGACATTTGAAGGTTTCTCTTACAAGACAGAGATTGAAATTGATGAAAAAAGGCATAAACTATTACAAAAGTTGAAAAAAAAAAATTCTTATCTACATTCACACTGTTAGGTTAGGAATGCAGTTGTACATCCCTTTCCAATCAATGTTTGTCAAACTGCAAAACAACTGTGACACTAAACACCAACTCTCAGCACACATGTCATTGGGGCAGGAATCATATCTTGGAATAACCCAGCCCACTTACATCATGGATATGTTGTATCCTTTAGGGCGTTGCTGATTATAGACCAGGGGCCTGTTTGTTTATGTGGACAAGTGGTACGTCCGTTTTTAAATATAACATTTTGGGGTATGCATCCTGGCGGACCTGCAAATATTTATGCAGGCCTTGCAAGGCTTTGTTAAGGCTTGCCTAAAAGTAGCATCAGATTATTGGGTCCAACCTTAATTCATTAACAAACAACTCTGGTCTAACCTGTTCAACCGTTTCGACCGGGATAAAGAAAAACGGACCAGATCCAGATATATAATAACATGAACAAAGGGCAATAACTCCCAAAGGCCAAAAGCGTTGTCTCCAGAACCCTCTCAAGGATTGCCTTTTACACCATCAATTGGAAATAAGTAATTTTCTTCGGTTCAATTGGTTTTGCAATATTAAATTTGTACTATAAATTTTAAGCAGGTCATATGACTTATATTACTTATGTAGACTACACGTTTTCTCTCAAGCTTATTTTCAGACAGGTTATATGAACCTATATTTACTGCATAAACCCTATACTGTAGAACTAAAACAACCAATAACAACATCCCTACACCTTGAATACAAAAAATATGTTTGCTCCCTGCATAACCTCTCTGTCAGTCTTCATCTAGCTATAACTAGCTTGCAGCTGGGTCATATTTCTTTCTGTCGAGGCCAAGGAATTCACAGGCATTCCCTGCCAACAACTTGTCCTGGAAAGATAATGAGGAAAAAGTAAGTATTAACATTTAAAAGTGCACCTGTAAGAAAATAATGCAGATAAGTAAAAAGCTTGACAAACGAAATAAGAGGCCCAGGGTCCTTAACAGCTCACCTGTTATAGGTTTTTTTTCTTCATATGAAACAGACAAACGGATTTCAAGAACATATTTCACAAACTTGTTGTGTGATTGCTAATTTTGAATAATTGTAGGTTTTTAAATATTTTTGGTAGAATTTGTAATCCTACTACATTTATAAATGAATTTGGACAGGTGAGCTAATAATAGCATACAGTTTCAACAATAAAACACATTGTATTTTAGGCCCTTTTTAATTCACTTCAAGAAATCAAACTTATATCATCCAATCATCCAATAATAGGTTTCTAAAATATCCGCCAGTATATGAAGTCAAATGTTATCAACATTGAAAGTGGGATCCCTGACAGTATATCCTATATCCATGTTAAGACAGTGGATCTTTTCAAATGACATAAGTATGCAATAATCACCTGAAAAGATATAAACACTGGTTTTCACAATACATACCTTGAGAGTATCATCAAATTTCATCTTCTCAATCAACTTCCCCGGGTGATGCTCGCCCAGAGGGAACGGGTAGTCAGACCCCATTATCACCTTATCCTATGTACAACAACAAGGGAGACAATCAGGCGGGCTAAACACATTGGTAACAAAAGGGCAGTAACTTTATGGGGTCTTTTTCATTAATGATGTATGCTATATTACTAACATTTGATCTTCTTACTCAAAAGAGTTTATCACTAAGAAAAACAAATACATATTAATTTTATTGGAAAACATTCTGCACAATGCTAACTGATTTTAAAATGAAAGTAGTCATCGAACTTGGCCGAGCCCTTAATGCATTTAACCCTGATACCAAGTTTGAAGAAAATCGGTAGATATTTGTTGTAGTTATTGCATGGAAACAAAGCGTGACAAACAGAGGGACAGACGGACAAACCCAAATTAATATCCCCCGTTTCGGTGAAAGCAGGGGATAAAAAGTAGCACATGACAAACTACTTAGTCAGGACTGGTAACTCCAGAAGTTAAGTATGAAACAGGTACATTGTATTACAGTGATTTCAAATTATTTCCTCCCTGGCATCATTATCACCATAGGAACAACAACATTTAGAGTTCATGAAACACTGTTTAGTCATGATACATCAGGTACTAAGATTCATAAGAAACATATTGAACTGTTTTGAGAACTTTAGAGGCTGAAGGTTAAATGTCAAGAATACAAAGTCACAAGCAACTGATGAAATAAATCATGAAACTTTTCGCAGATTTTACATCTACATAATGAGGATGCTGAACGTACAGGTAAAGGTTACCCTTTCTTGCATACAAAACATCATAGTTAGTAAACATTATCTATATCAGGTCAGACACAATTTGCCAACCATACATTTGAATCCACTTATCCATGAACAGGGCCAAACAGCTGCTTGAGATAGTAACAGTACCCAATAATTAACTCCCCTTTTAGCCCTATAGTTTGTTCATTATCATGTTCCCTAATACTTACCTCCCCTTTTAGCCCTATAGTTTGTTCATTATCATGTTCCCTAATACTTACCTCCCCTTTGAGCCCTATAGTTTGTTCATTATCGTGTTCCCTTATACTTACCTCCCCTTTGAGCCCTATAGTTTGTTCAGTATCGTGTTCCCTAATACTTACCTCCCCTTTGAGCCCTAGTTTGTCTGTTCATTATCGTGTTCCCTAATACTTACCTCCCTTTTGAGCCCTAGTTTGTCTGTTCATTATCGTGTTCCCTAATACTTTCCTCTCCTTTGAGCCCTAGTTTGTCTGTTCATTATCATGTTTCCTAAAACTTACCTCCCCTTTGAGCCCTAGTTTGTCTGTTCATTATCATGTTCCCTAAAACTTACCTACCCTTTTAGCCCTAGTTTATCTGTTCATTATCGTGTTCCCTAATACTTCCCTTCCCTTTTAGCCCTAGTTTGTCTGTTAATTATCGTGTTCCCTAATACTTACCTCCCCTTTTAACCCTAGTTTGTCTGTTAATTATCGTGTTCCCTAATACTTACCTCCCCTTTTAACCCTAGTTTGTCTGTTAATTATCATGTTCCCTAATACTTACCTCCCCTTTTAACCCTAGTTTGTCTGTTAATTATCATGTTCCCTAATACTTACCTCCCCTATAATGGTGACTAGCAGTTTGAGAGCCTCTGAATCATGTACCAGTCCATCAGTGTAGAATTTCCCAAGGTAATTCTGTGGTGACACGTTACACTCTGTAGCACACAGATCGGGGCGGACATCATAGCCATGCTGTACTCGTCCCACAGTGTAGGGGAATGAACCACCTGTCAAAATCAGTTAAAATACAAAATGGATAAGAAAAATAAATTCTCTGTTAAAATCAGTGGAAATAAGAACTAGTGAAATGATCTCAGCTACATAATCTGTATTCTTTGAAAAAATTGTACAAAGAACAATTTCTGCAAAAATTCATTGTAATTATTAATTTGATTGGAAACACTTCTTTTGTTCGAAACCAATTATGCAAGCTAAGAAATGCAGGGAAATTAAAAGGGAAGATCAGGTCCAACTTTGATATGAACAAGACATTCAGGATATTTTTATTTTGAAATCTGTATTTATCTTCATCGTAAATCAGGCACAAAATACATCTGATATAAAAATTTACAGAACAGTATATCAAATGTATTTAACTTAACAGTGTATATCAGTGAGTGTCAAGAATCAAACATCTAAAAGACAAAATATAAGAAGATGGATATTATTTTCTATTTATACCAATATGACTTTAGAACACTTGGACTTGATGGTGTCATTCTTCATACTGATACCTTAAGGTGCTACCTTGCACCCTTGTACCTGTTAATTGTGTTAGAGTTATCTCCCTAACAAAAGTTTTAACAAGAGGCCCAGAGGGCCTGTATCGCTCACCTGGATACCAAAGCAATCATGGCAAAATATTCTCCGAATGAGATCAAGGGAATATGCCAGACCCTAAGGCCAATCCTTGTAGCATATCTGTATTAGATTTTTCATGCCCAGCAATTTTATGTATGGTTATGGGGATCTCAACCGTTTCAAAGTTATGACCCAGGGGTTAGGTCTGCAAGGGTGGGGCAGACCCTGGGGTCAATTCTAATATCATGACTGCATGCATCTTTTTATGCCCAACAATTGTATATATAGTTTTGGGGTGGGGTTCTCAACAGTTTTAGAGTTATGGCCCAGGGACTATGTCTCCAAGGGTGGGGCCAGACCCTATAGCCATCCTGGAAGCAAATGTGCATTCTTCTCTTTATACTAAGCAATTGTATACCATGGTTATATGGTGGGGATCTCAACCATTTCCAAGTAATACACATTTTTTGGCCCCACCCCTTAGCCCTGGGGGTCAGCCCCACCATTTGCACAATTTTGAATCCCTGCCTCCTATGAATGCTTCCGACCAAATATGATCAATATCCATGGCATAGTTCTACAGAAGGAGTTGTTTATAGCATTATAGCCAAATTGCCCCCTTTTTGGCTCCGCCCTCAGCCCCCTGGGGGCTTAGCCCCACCATTTGTACAATTTTGAATCCCCACCACCTAGGAATGCTTCCAGTCAAATATGGTTGATATCCACTTCTTAGTTCCAGAGAAGAAGTCGCTTAAAGCAATATTGCAATATTGACCCCTTTTTGCCCCGCCTCTCAGCCCCCTGGGGGGTCAGCTCCATCATCTGTACAATTTTGAATCCCTGACACCTAGGGATGCTTCCAGTCAAATATGGTTGATATCGACTATTTGGTTCCAGAGAAGAAGTCGCTTAAAGCAATATAGCCAAATTGACTCCTTGTGGCCCCGCCCCTCAGCCCCCTGGGGGGTCAGCCCCACCATTTGCACAATTTTGAATCCCCACCACCTAGGGATGCTTCCAGGCAAATATGGTTGATATCCATGGCACAGTTCTACAGAAGAAGTTGTCTGTAGAAATATAGCCAAATTGCCCCCTTTTTGCCCGCCCCTCAGACCCCTGGGGGGTCAGCTCCATCATTTGTACAATTTTAAATCCCTGACACCTAGGGATGCTTCCAGGCAAATATGGTTGATATCCATCTCTCAGTTCCAGAGAAGAAGTCGCTGAAAGCAGTATAGCCAAATTGTCCACTTTTTGCCCGCCCCTCAGCCCCCTGGGGGGTCAGTCCCATCATTTGTACAAATTTGAATCCTCACCACCTAGGGAAGCTTCCAGTCAAATATAGTTGATATCCACTTCTTAGTTCCAGAGAAGAAATCGCTTTAAGCAATATTGCCAAATTGATCCCTTTTTGCCCCGTCCCTCAGCCCCCTGGGGGTCAACCCAATCATTTGTACAATTTTGAATCCCGACCACCTAGGGATGCTTCCATTCAAATATGGTTGATATCCACTTCTTAGTTCCAGAGAAGAAGTCGCTTAAAGCAATATAGCCAAATTGACCCCTTTTGGCCCCGCCCCTCAGCCCCCTGGGGGGTCAACCCCACCATTTGTACAACTTTGAATACCTATCACCTAGGGATGCTTCCAGTCAAATTTAGTTGAATTCCAATCAGTGGTTAAGAAGAAGAAGTCGTTTAAAAAAATTGTTGACGTACTGACGGACGGACAGATGGACGGACGACGTACGCAACGGTATGGCATTAGCTCACCTTGGTCCCTCGGACCAGGTGAGCTAATAATACTATTACAGTAATTCCAAAGTACCTGATTTTCAATGTATTCTTTCAATAGCTTTTAAATGTGTCAGCAATTGATTAAATCTTAATTGTCATTATCAAAAACAATTTCTCTTTGTGTGAAACTCTTTTGAAAAGGACATTCAGCAAGGTGGCATACATCCTTAAGTCAATTTTGTATCGAAAAATGAAAATAAATAGGCATTAAAATATTTGAATTAAAATTTATAAATCAATTTATTACTGGTATTCAAAATGATCACCATAACATAAACATGACAAAAATAATATTGCTTGCATTTAACTAAAAAAAAAAAACCAACCTTTTTTTACATGATTAAGCTTATCATATTCAGGTCCAGACTCTGTAAGGAATCTTTGCTACAGAAATAATTCATACCTCCATGAGCAAAGCACACTTTGAGTCTAGGAAATTGTTCCAGTACACCACCCATCAACATACAGCATATTGCAGTTGCTGTTTCTGCAGGCATTCCTGAGAAAAAAAACACTCAAATCTATGTAAAAAGAAAAAAGTGACTGAGGGATTACACCACACTTGGAAATACTGTTTAGAACTTTTTCCAAGAAGATTTTTTTTATACATGGAAAGAAGTTTTACTACATTTATTGTACTTTCCAGATATCCCTTAAATAATCCACATTAATCAATAAAATAACTGATGTTATTTTGCAAAAACTATTTTCTATCTATAGTAAAGCTCTGACCTTTTGACCTGAAAAGTGATCCCAAGCAAGCACTCTAGATAATAGCCATGAACGAACTTTGCGATTGCCTGGCCAAAGTGAACTGACTTAAACCTTCAACAGTTTGTAAGATGTTCCTACGAGTAAGCCCTGCTTACAGTTAGCCCCAGTATTTACCAACAAGCCATGGTAACCAGTATTTGCTCATGCGGCCTGACATCTCCATGTCCCATGGATGAACGAAGATGGCAACGTCATGCTCCTCTGCAGCCTAGAAAACAAATTCTATCTTCAATATTATCCCTCAAAGTTTGAAGACAATTTGTGCCAATCTTAAAGCTGACAGCACAAACTGAATATATAAAGTAAAAATTGTAGACAGCTTTTTTTATTTCCCCAAGTAGCCATATCTTCTAGCTATCGTATCTAAGGAAGTGCCACCATTATATTTCATACATTGGTTAGTAACGAGTATGGGCCTCCCTGGGTATTTCTGTTTCCGCGGTGACATGCACATTTAAATTTTCATTTAAATACACAAAAGGAATAACTATCAGTATGTGTGTGACTCTGTCATCAGCTAGACCCATTTTTTTTTTCACATTACCATAATTTACACAACTTTAGTTCATTAATAACTACAAAATATATACTATGATTTACCAACCCATGAATTTAAGGACATCCTGTAATATCTGGCATTACTTTGTGGTTATAAAAACAGCGTTTCCTTTTTAACCCCAATTTAAATGTGTCATCCTACTGATTCAGTTCCCCCTTTGACGTCAGTTAAGACAAATTTCACGATATAGATTCTACGAACCGCAAACACAGGTCTTAGTTCCTTTGCGTCTAGGTTCCACTCATTGACATGGGATCCGATCTGTACACCCGTGAACCCTGTTTAAAATATAACACAGTTGATAAGCATGTCCATTTTTAGATTTGTGATGCACTAACACATATATTGCATGACTAGAAACTTGTTTTTATGAACAGAATTTATATATAGTCCTCCCTTATTAGCCAATACCAAGGTATACATATTATATGCCTTGGGTGGCGTAGATGAAAGAGTAGGATAGCTGGCAAACAGATGTTGGCCACATTTTATTCGACTACACATACAGTGGTGATGTCATACCCAAAGTACACACAATATTGGTTATACTCAATGCAGCACATGTACAGTAGTATGACAAATACTGACTTCTACAATATGAAGTTGCATTCATTTGACCTTTGACTTTGTGGTGAAGGTACAATGAACTACCCGTGTATAAAGGTCCTGATGCAGCTGAATCATCTTGGGAAATTAGCAGATAATTAGTCACCTCAAGTCACCGAAATTCTGTAAGCTAGGGCTCCATTAACACTCGACATAAAAAGACTTACTGTTTCAAGTACCTATTTACCACCAATATTCTTACCCCCTACCTAATTCTGTTTTACATCGGACGAGTTCCTGAACCGCTAGGTCAGGAGCCTGAAGGGGGAGGGTCCCAAGTCCAACAAACCTGTCCGGAAACTTCTTCACAGTTTTGGCCAAATCATTGTTTAGTATCTGACAGAGATCCAAAGTATCTTCAGGCTTGGCCTTCAACAGAAAAACATGTCAAACACTGATAATAAACTATTTAAGTTCAAAATGGCTGCAAATGTAACATACTTAAATAGAATTAGGCACAAATGTGCTTGACGTGAACACTGAACACTACAAATGAATGAATTTTGAAGTTGACACTGACAGGAATATTCCTTAAATTTTCTGTTTTGAATACTGTAATCATTGAATTAAGCACCCTTTTCCTTGTAAGTGCCTGTATCCCTTTTTGTGGTCTGAGTGTCCGATCCATTCACAGGTACTAGCCTCGTCTGTCAATGTACATATAAGATTATAATATATGTATTTTGACAGACGAGGCTAGTACCTGGGATCCATTCAACAGAATTCATCAGCTTACATGAACGGATGCATAGATGCACTTAAAATTCAATTACTGTATACTAACTAATCATTATATTATGTTTGTACGTTGCAGGTAGCAGTCATCCTTTAGAATAAAGAATTCGTAAGAAAGGAAGATGTTAATTCTCATTTATATACAACCCTCTACTAAGTGGGGGATATGAAATAAAAAGGGGACCTTGAGGTATTTTTGCCGTAAGCAAGGTGGCATATAGAGCTACACTTTATAATGTTTAGACATCTTACGGCAAGGTGGCGTATAGAACTACACTTTATAATGTTTAGACTTCTTACAGCAAGGTGGCATATAGAGCTACACTTTATAGTGTTTAGACATCTTACAGCAAGGTGGCATATAGAGCAACACTTTATAATGTTTAGACTTCTTACAGCAAGGTGGCATATAGAACTACAGTTTATAATGTTTAGACATCCTACGGCAAGGTGGCATATAGAGATACACTTTATAATGTTTAGCCATCTTACGGCAAGGTGGCATATAGAACTTCACTTTATAATGTTTAGACTGCTTACGGCAAGGTGGCATATAGAACTACACTTTATAATGTTTAGACATCACCTTAAGTTTTTACTGTATATGAAATAGTAAAATCCATGTAAATTTAAAAGAGTCTCTATGTCAGAATAAAAACATATATACAGATGTACTGTATTATGTACAATGTACTCAGACTGCAATTACCCACATATTGAAAGTGGTCTAAGTATCTTACCCAGTAGCTGAACATAACTGGAACTGTTGACAACGCTTGTACTGTTACACCTACAAAACAAATCATCAGCCATAATATATTAAAGATCATAGCTTATATAAGACTTTTGCAGAATTCTTCGAACAATTCCTTATATGTGCAACCAATTCTTTTAGAAACATATTTCAGTTCTAACGGAGTACTGCAATACAGGAAACTTTCATTACCATATTTCCATTTCTTACCTTGGACAAGAATCAAAACAGGATTGTGTCTGTTAACAATCTGATAGAGATTGGAGTATTTTGAGGAAATTTTGATAATTATTTAAATAGCAACACTTTCCATTGGGAAAGGGAACTCTACCTGTTGTATCCATATCCTTAATCCTGGCCTCAGGTGACCAGCAGTTGTCGTCAACGACTCGGAACAGTTTGCCATCCTTCATCATGTTGGCCTTGCCCTCACATTTGTGATGGAGTTGTAACCAGCCTCCGTAGCCATACTTCTAAAATACAAGCAAGTTGTGTCTACTTTAAAACTAAATTTTAACGAAGCTGTAACTTACTATCCCCCAACACAGAATCAAAATCATATGTTAGATTTGTAATAGGAGAGGAAAAATGCACAGCCAGACCAGGGTTTGAGCTACCTGATCGCTGATAAATGACCCAGTCGAGTTCCGCCTTTTTCTAAGATAACAATATTTACGACCCAGGTTCAGGTACAGGTCTCCCCTTGTTAAACATTTACCTAGTTCTTGAAACAATGGCTGGTCATAGAACTCCCTCCCTCAGACACCGACTAGATACCAAGAGTACTGAAAGATACAGACGTTTTGATACTTAGTGATTTAAATACTGAAATGATCTAGTAACTTCCCAAAAGTTGTTTAGATATTTTATAAGATTTTTGGCACTTGGGCAAGCGTTTTTCGCATCATATTAGTTTGTCTTTTGTTTCTAATTTTATATTTTATGAATCTTTAGCATTTTCATCTTTACAAAAAGTACTGAAACATTCTATAGTTAGGTACCAAAACTATTGGGTACATCAAAGATTTGTTTCTTTTTCACCCAAATGATGCTGTATTGTAACAGGAAAGAGAATAGTGTGCTTCCACCCGGGATCGATCTCCTCGATCTCCCGGTTTACACCCTCTACCACTGAGCTAAAGGGAAATTCCTTACAGCTGATGCTTGTAAGGCAACCTAATAAATACACATCTTTGACACTATTCTTCCTTTTTTCAAACACCAACCAAGCTTCTTTGATTCGATCCCCACCAACGGTTCTCATAGCTACCTTAAACGGGGAGGGTCAACAGCACCAGTTTGTAGTAGGACGATCCATGGCTCTCCAGCCCGATGCTCTACCCCTGAGCTATAGGGAAATTCCCCCTAGCTCGAAGCTAGAAGGCGACTGCTACATTGTTTTAGATTGATACAGCTAGGTGGGCATACCCTAACCTAACTTGGTCATATTATAATTCCTGTTGGAACTCTATGCAAATCAGTGATTTTTTTTAGCGATATCGTAAGTAATTAAATCTTTTATTAAGGTAAAGTTTTCACAGGAATTAAGTAAATAATCATATGGTGTTGCCTTCACGGTGATGACTATAATTACATATATATATATAAGGAGTGGAGTGTGTATGGGGAGGGACTGGACCGAATGACAACAGGTATCCCGAGTGTCCTCTTTGCCTGACACCAGATATTTGCATGACAAATAGATATGGTGTGGAAATCAATATGTCAAAATGTTCAAGTCTGCTGTCGGGTAAATCTCAATGTGGCCCAATTCCTTTGCCATTTTCTCTCCTGTTACAGTCGATGTGCCTCCTGTGACGCATGATCAGATACACGGCTGTTGGTCGTACACATGATGTGTTGAATACTATGACCAATGGTAAACATGTAATACCAGTACACAATTTATTTTGTGTGGCCGACGCCGTCGGCTTACAAGTCAATACTAGGAAAGGTCGTTTGCTGTCATTGTTATTGCACACAACTCACGTACGATCAGCTCACGTAGCTGTTATTGACAACAGACAGGAAACTTCCTAAGTTTGCGTAAACATTATAAAATTTCATATTTTCAATAAGAAAATCAACAAACCTCTTTCAAGTCAGGCCAAGACTCTGGCAAAATATGTGTGTGCAAGTCTATTTTCATTGCTTCGTTTGCTTGTATCGCGGGAATGAGGTCACTAGGTCAAGGTCAATGTCAACAATATCAGCCAATGGAATCGCACGGTACGAAGGTGTGTCTGTACTATAGTCTGTTTTCATACGACACGAACCAGGCGGTATTTTCTATAGTCTGTTTCAAATAAATGGACGAGCGCGACGGATTGGTGGTTGAATTGCGGGGTTTAACATGCAAGCATGAACCTTCCTCAGCATTTCAGGAAACACATCCTGAATATTATTTAGAACCACTTTAAATATTTTAAATCATGCTCAAATCGATGTTATGACAAAATCGAAGTTTCAGTATGTATCACCTTGTGGATGAGACGAGAAAAACTAGTTTTGATCCTTTGATGTACATCAAAAGTATCTCTTTTGCCTTAAATTTTGCTATGACATATCCCAGGGGTGTAGAGCGCGTATAACTCGTCACCTACAGATGACGTGCAATGCAGTGTCATAAGGTCACTGTGGCATTACCTCAAGGTCAAAGGTAAAAAAAAGTCTGATTGTTTCAAACAGTTTAAGGTGCACGCCAAGGCGATGGCAATAATAAGGTCAAATAACTGATAAAACTTTCAGTATATCTGCATCACCCACAGACGATGTACAGTGCACAGGGGCGTTTCTAGGATATTTGAAAGAGGGGGCGTAGAATGAAAACCTTTTTGGACCTTTTTTTTGCTAAAAAAACTACGGATCACCAATCGGATGGGGGAATCAGTATAAAAAGATATCAGAGTATGTGTTTAATTAATGATTATGATAAATTGTCATATTCAATACAATATAAGCAGATTACCATAGTTTTTTTTGAAAAGGGGGGGGGGGGGGCGTACGCCCATTACGCCCTCACCTGGACCCGCCCCTGGTGCACTGTCCTTAGGTCAGTGTGACTTTGACCTCGTGGTCAAAGGTCAAATATGTGCAAAGTTTTCAAGAATATCTTTTCAGGGCCGTAACATTTTTAAACCGTTTAAGATAATTTGATGAAACTTGAAGTGTACTTGCATCACCATAGACGATGTGAAGTGTACTGTCATAAGGCCAAAGTTTTCAGGAATATCTTGTTGGGCCGAAACTTTTAAACCGTTAATTGGGAGAAATATGTGTTCGTTCACAAACACAAATCTCTAGTTCATTTTTGGCATACTGTAAGATAAAAGGTGGTAGACTCTGCTGGTGGATTTTTTGTTCTCCCACCCTTCACAGGTGTGTCTCCCGTTTTAGCCGGAAAAGATCAGCTTTTCTCTTACCCTGGACAGGTGTATCCGCATTTTTACCGGTGTGAGATTTCCTTGTCTCACCCTAGGGTTGAGACGGGGGGATTCCCCTATTCGAAACAATACAATGACGTCACGTCAACAATCCATCAACGTCACGTCAACCCTGAATTTAGCATGTAACGTTATCATTACATTGTGCATATGATACACAATGAAGGAACAGGGTAAGAGAAAAAGAATCATTCACCCCCTTGTGGGTGAGATAGTGGAATCTCAACCCTCGGGGAAAGATTCTTTAGTTGCCAAACACTCGGCAAAGCCTAGTGTTTAGCAACTTAAGAATCCTCCCCCTCGGGTTGAGATTCTCCTATCTCACCCCAAGGGGGTGAAAGATTCTATTAGTCACCTCCTAGGGAGAGATAGCCTCGTGCAGATTAGCACGTGTTCGATTGTGACGTCATTAAAATGCGTCACCGGTAATTGTGACGTCATCAAAAGTGAATGACGAAATTCATACCACAAATGTGGGTGTTTTTTTACACTACTGTCGATGGAGTTGTGACTGAATTAATAGGATGGGAGAAAAACAATTACCCCTACCTTGAGGGTGTGACAGAGAAATCTCCAACCCTCGGAGGTGATTCTATTAGTCACCGATGTTTGCCGTTACCTTGATGGCCACCATTATATCTTTACAACAGTGGCATGATTCATAATATACTAACTTTACCAATTTATTGCAAAAATAAATTATACTTGATTTTTGTTTACTTCCGTGTCAAGTTTAGAATTCAACGATATTGATACGTTTACTCATATACATGTGTTATAGGCTTGAAAACTACTTTTATTCCGCTATAAGTAACCTACTAAACAGTGCAGAGGGTCGAAGGTCAGGAGGTCAGAAGAATCATGGAATGGGAGATAACCCTGACCGATCAAGAAAATCCTGATTGGTTTCGTTTTGAAGACATACTTTAACGATCGTCTAACAGTCTTTATAAACGAAAGGACAGTCTCATTGACACGATGTTCGAAATTTTCTATTATTGAAAAATACAAGTATTGAAAAACCCTTCAAAAGTCCGACTGTGTGCTATGATCAAGAAGCCTAGAATATGAATTTTAAAAAGAAGCCTATAAAGAACTCCCGATCTGTAGCATGCGGGGCTAAATTTGCCCGGGCAAATGCGCGGTTCAATCTTATTAAAATCAAATTCTAATTTCCGTTGTATCGTAGAGGAACGGGAATTAGGATATGATTTTTATTACATTGATGCACGGTTCAGTCTTGATTTAAAAGAGTTTACAACTTCGGGTGTTAGATTGTTCCAGAGTTCAGTCACACGGTTTGTTCTAAAACGTTTATTGAGTTTTTGTTGTGTCCTCTGTTGTGCATGTTCTGTCCAGCCGCGAAGATCGTTATGACACGTTGCAACAAATCAATGTAGATCAGATATTGCGTATTTGTCTTTTACCGTCCGTCCAGAAGGACGTGCGGCACTTTGGTTAGACTTAGCGGTTAGACTTAGAGGTTAGACTTAGTGGTTAGACTTAGCGGTTAAACTTAGCGGTTGGACTTAGCGGTTAGACTTAGCGATGATACTTAGCGGTTAGACTTAGCGGTTAGACTTAGCGGTTAGACTTTTTTTTTTTTTTTTTTTTTTT